TCCGGTGTTCGACTACAATATGTACTGGTATGACCATAAACAGACACAAAAAAACACAGTGTGGTGCCTTAGTGTGACCACATTTGAAATGCACTCTCTCCTCCACCTTTACATGTAAAAAAGTGAAACTTACAATGGGTATACAGACCACATGAACTTATAGCTAAAGTACAGGCTCAGCACGCATACCACAGAAAATGTTAGAACCAGCCAAAACCTTACAAGACCTTACAGCATAGACAGACATGGGCCTGCAAATAAAATACTAGTTTTTACACTGATGCTCAAATCTTAATGCAACTCACATCTCAATGCAACACATCATGCTAAATATCATTATTTCCACAATAAATGACCACATGCAAAACCATTACACAGTGTGTCTAAATAAATCATCACACTCAAATACTAAATAAGACAAGCCCAATAATGACTGTCGCAAGCAACTATTTCAACAGCTACATTATTTCTTGTTCTTATTATTCAGATTCTTATGCAGTTTCCTTCAGATGCTCATAATAACAAACAAAAGCTAAACCAAATGCTTCATAAATGTTATATCATTTTGAAATGAAAATAAAAACAGCATTCATTTCTTATTCTGTTTATGAAAAGAAAGTAGACTGACCAAAACATTAACACAAATTAACTGAGCAACCATTTGAAAAACGTACTGTTATCAGAGTACAAATATCCTTACAAAAATCGATTACAGTGTGACATTTTTGCCCAGTAATAATGGTAAATAAGCCTTACATTTAGCACAACTTCTTCTTTGTTTGTGCAAAGTCTTTAATACAGTGCTCAAAGTCTACTCCCTTGACCAGATTCAGTGGCTGGCAGGCAGATCGCAGACAGCTGTTTCTGTCTCATGGTTGTCCTGAGTTCTTTCTTCACTCTCTTAAGTTGAGAAAAATCTCTCTCTCTCTCTCTCTCTCTCTCTCTCTCTCTCTCTCGTGATTGTTTTTCTTGTTCTTGTTTTTGTATAGCACAATCGCTTAGCTGATGCCTGTCCATTTTAAATTAGTCTGATATCATATGGCCTGCACCATGTGATGGTGGATGTTTAAATAAATAAATATACATATATTGTATATCTACAGTTAATTTTGTACCTGTTTGCATTTTTTCCTATAAATAATGTCTGTAAAAATGACAAATATTTTTAAAGTACTTATTGTCTTGATCATTTTGTGTACCTCCCATTACGGCAAATGTACCTGTACCTGTACCTGAGCACTCACCCAATATTATATATGGATAATCTGGCCCAGACCATAATTGGCAGCAAAGCTAGAAGAGTGGAGGAAGGTGGGATAGTGAGTCCTGTTTAGCATTGTATAAATCTACTGTAATTATTATATACTAATTCCGCACACGGGAGGGGTACTGGTGATAATAAAATGAGGATAGACTAACTGAATAGTTCCTAAATAACTACAGGGTATGTTTGTGTTTTAACTATGTGTAACAGTGTCAATCAAGCGTAAATTCCTTACTATAATATAATAATCTTTTCCCTGGACCTCTGTTTGTTCCAGAGTGCTGTTTATTGTTGTTATGGAGTAGAGTAAGTAGAATCATGATGCAGTTTCAGAAGATGATACATTTTATGTCCTGTCACAGTGTGAATGTCATTTGTTAACAAACACAGTACATCTGATACAATTCAAAGTGATAATTTGTTATAAGATATAGATCTGCCCTTGTCTAATGTAAGTCTAAACTTTTGTGATGTCGAGCAGTTGAGCTGCTCTCATTGGCTGTGCAGTTTTGACTCGTCCGTAGCAGGAAACAATGGCGGCTCGCCTGGTCACACACAATCTCGTATTACAGCTAAAGAGTACACTAAAATACACAGTAACAGAATCTCTAGCTAATAAATCAAGTGAGAAGTAGGGCCATTTCGACATAAGACTGCATGCTATCAGTCTTTATTTGCAGCCAGTGGAGCTGCCCCCCATGGTCATTAGAAATAATTTTTTTAAAGACAATTCTGCATTATGTATGTATGTATGTATGTATGTATGTATGTATGTAAGTCAGTCAGCAAATTGTACCTGGTTTAGACTGTCCCTCTGTATGTCTCACTCCTGATATCCTTTTATACTGCAGAAGATGCAGTATGTGTAAACAAATGTTTATGATGGCTGCTTTTAAAAGGTCATTAGATTATATCTCAGTCCCTCATTGCATTTAACGGACATTGGTTGGTTCTATAGTATAATTGACACTAATAGCAAGCTATTGAGTATGGCAGAGAAGGAGTTATAGCTGTTTTTACTACTTCTGGGAATAAAATACACCTCACTGTTGGAGGCCCAAACACTATATGTAATCATTATAATTATTCCCAAAGTGGTCTAGACAATGCTGAAAGGAGGTAAAAGCGAAAACATAAAATAAAACGTATGCACTGAGGGTTGTGCTATGAAGCAAGATGATGGCTATCACAATGGTGGTTGTCCACTTTCTTTGTGAACCCAGGTTTTCTTCTCAGGCTGTGTGCGCATTCTCATAAAGGGGCAGGTTGGTGTGCATCATTTGAGTTGTCTTCTTTACAAAATGGACCAATCACGTGCTGCTCACGTCAATCTAGAAGAACAGGTTGTTATAATGGAAAGAATATAAACAAATTATTATAGCAAAAAGCATCACTGTTGCTGCAAATAAGGCAAGAAAGGAACTGGATGGATTAGGTAGGTCCCCATGGGCAAAATAAATCACGTGGTGCATACAGTTTGTGCTAATTACATGGCGGTGACATTACTTATTTACAGCTCAGCAAGGTTGCATATATAATGTATTCCCTCAGGAGAAAATCTATATCACTAATAGAGAATATAATTAATAAAAATGTGGGGCTTTTTATAGGTGATTTACATAAGAAACTCTGGACACAACCTCCTCCGTAGCAGGTTAGGTGTGCAGTGTAAGTTGCCATGGTGATCAAGCCGGGTTAAAAGAGAGCCACTGTTGTGACACTGAAAACTCTGACTTTAGGCTCAACATACCTCACTAAGCCATTCATTTTGCTTTGTAGTACACCCCTGTGGTGATCTGTGCACATTAACTAAGGTAAGACAGTATGGCCAGTTGCTGCAGGGCACACCGACCTCTTGATATGGCAAGTTGACAATTTTTTTCCTTCATTGATCTTTGTGTGAAGCAGCTACCTACTGAGGTTTTTACTGATATCCAATCCAATCCAATCCAACTTTATTTGTTAAGTACTTTGAAAACAACCAAAGTTGACCAAAGTGCTGTACAGGAGAATAAATAGGACATCATAAATGTAAACAGTGATGGTGATGATGAAGACCACTGTGAGGAATATAGACAGTGATGGCGACAACACTGGAAAGTTCCCGTGGCAGATAACATTGTCGAATTTGGAGAAATGTTTAGCGGTGGTGTCCCATGACTGGGCCGGGAATGGTGACGTTGAAGTGATCTGCTCGTTTGCAGCCATGTCAGCATGTAAAGCTCCTCTTCTTCCCCCTCCCTTTACCCCCCCCCCCCCCCCCCCCCCCCCCCCCCCCCCCCCCTGGGTTGGATGCTAGGGCCTCAGGGCTATCTTTCTATTGTCATTTGAATGTTAGGCCATGACTCAAGGAGTAAGTGATTAGTGAGCCATCTTCAGTATGTTTTTTCAGTTATGACATCTTCAACTTTTCCACCACTCTTCTTACCAAATGAATGGAGCATTCTTTAAAATTAGCACAGGACATATTTGTGGACATATTTGCTGAAGATAATTCATTTGTTCTCCAATATTCCCCACTGTTTTCCTGTTTTCCATGTAATTGCCAAATTATCATAGACTGTCTAGCTTGTTTCAAAGTATTTAGAGTACTTTGACGCAAGTCTGAACTTCTTAAACAGCAACAGTCTGATGCAATGACAGCATTACGTAGTAATGTGAAGTCTCGTCTTCAGATGGAGTAATTGTTGCTGACTTAGAAACTTTGTAGCTAGAGTTGTCTAAATATTTCAACCCCTTTAGCAGCTATATTTAAAGCAAGCAATGCCAGTTTAATCTTTTTGCCTGCCTGCAAGGATCTTCTAGTCTGACTGCACCAGGTGGTTTGTTACACAGAACCATCTGGGAAGTCGTTGTTGGAAACTGTTTGGAAAAGGGCAGGCTCTTTCAAAAAATACCAATCAGATCAGATTACCAAAGTCAGTCGGGAGAAGAGCAAAAACATCTTTTCCATCAAGAAAAGCCTTCAGTGCTGTTCTTTCCTCTTCTTTCAATAAAGAAATAGTCTCCAGTTCTGATAGAACAGATGCTGGCAGCATCTACATTAAACTTTTTAGCAACTGCACACATCGTCACGCACACCTAGCATTAAACCATTGCCGTAGCTCATATTGTATCTGTCGATGATTGGTCCAGACCACTGAGGTTCGGACACAAGTGCAAAGCTTGAATCCTGCCAAGATGGATTCTTGTGTGATTTTGTGATCTTTTGTGATCTGGTACGACTGGTTGGGTGCAAGTAGGTTCATGCAAGGTTTGAGCAAGTACTCAACTGAAACGAGTATACAAATAATGTACTTTTTACGAGAAGTAGTATCCTCAGAGTATAATGTGTCTATATTCATACTCATAAACATAGCAGGAAAACCCTTCTGCAAATAGTTTTCTTACTTTTGTGATTTAAAAACATTGATCTGAAGCTACGTTCTTAGGTTGTTCTGTAAATGGTCTGATTAATTTCAGGCTAAATGAACAATTTCTACCCACTTCGAGTCCAAGCCCCGCCCATTCTGAGTACATATATGAGTACAGATAATATGGTTGGTTGAACAGACATGGTGGTGTACTCACTCATCCCTAGTTAAGGCACTCTCCAGACCCCTACCCCCTTTCCAACTAGTGCAGCAACAAGAATGGAATGCCCCACTGACAATCACCATGAACAATGTTTCTAAAAACATATAACACAACCCCCTTTTTTAAAGTTGCTGAAGTCAAGTTATTTTACAACGGAGGATTAACAATATATTCACTTTTATTATTAAATTATACATCTATACAATAGATCCTTAATAAAACCGCAGCTATACAAATCATTTAAGAAGTAACCACATGATATTATCCATTGCAATATAACCAAAACACTCTGAGAGGTATGTATTCATTCACTGATACTAGAGATCACATCTTGAGACATAACAAGGACATGCACAGATGGGGTCCAGTGGCTCAAGACCCTATCTTTTGACCATGCCACTCTCACTTTCAGTCATGTAATCTTTAGCCTTGGTAGCGGTGGGGCTCCAGGAAGGGCGATATTGTTTGTCAGTCTTTCCGTCGGTCTTTCCATCCATCAGTCCCAAAAATTGGAATCTGTTAAATATCTTCACAATTGTTCGATTGCTTTCCTCGAAATTTCGTACATTAATGATCCCAAGAGGATGAATTACATTGACTTGTCCAACACACGGAGGAAAAACAAATATCACATTCCTGTCAGCCTCAGATTCAGCTTTTCTTTGGGCTTATCCATTATGTTAAGCTCAAAGTACAACTGACAAATACATCTAACCTGCCTAAGAGCAGCTGAAGCCAAGGATCATGGATAATGAATCAGATCATGTAGAGCTGAGTCTGACAAGCCAATTTTGAAATTTAGGTAACATTGCTTTTCCACTGACACCACCTTCAGGTCAAAATATTTAGATTTTCCATCCATGCTTTGCTGTAATTTGAAGGTGTATGCAGACTCACAAGACCACTGGGTTGGCTCTAGACATTTTGTCTTGTTTGTGTGTATGGATTTTTTCTTAGGATCAACCAGTGTAATATATACTCTGATTGAAAATATATATAAGACATCACTTATTCCTTTAATCCAAATAATAAATAAATAAACAAGGTAACATAGTGGTCTTTTTCTTGATTAGCTCCAAGCACTGCTGAATAGCGCTGCAAAATAAATAACAAGCGTAACTTTTGTACTTTTTCAGTTGGTGGGTCTACACTGGTACGTCATACTTGAAACCAAGCTAGCAACTGAGCATTACAATCTTTAAGCGGTGGTACAAATCACTCATGTACTGTGACAAAGTATAGTAGAGTGGGTTGTGACGGACACATTTAACCCAAGGGCTTTCTATAGCTGTACAAGCCCTGACAAACCTGCTGCTGTGATTGTTTCTTATTACTGCAAACTCGACTTTCATGCTGGTTAAACCAGTTTCACACTTACTGTCCATAGTAAACTGTTGCCCATTTGCCAAAGAACACCAGAGATACCACTTGGGAGCTTTGTGGTTTACCAAATCTGTATATACCAATGCCTGTATAGTGTGTTGTAGCCTGTAGATACTATTATTGGCTGCTTGCAAAGTTTGGCAAGATTTTCAACTGCAGTTTGGTAGATAGTCGGTGTTGATGCCCGCTTTGTATTTAAATACTATAATCCTCTCCATCAATTTCCTATTTCTGCTACTCATGATACAATAAACACATGTTTTTGGATTTTTATGCAAGTAGAGTAAGCACAATTAAACTAATATGGGAAAAAAAAATGATTTCACAAGCCAACAGCTAAATATTGCCTACAACTAAGTATATGTGGCTTGAATGGTGTACAAAGCTTTCTTAGGGACTACACTTGAAAACCTGAAACACTTGAAAGTGTTGAAAGTTACGGATCTAGTACGTACCCAGTTAACAAACGATTACAACTTCCTGGATTTAATTCCCATGCTACTTCAAACAGTGCAGTAGAAAACAGCTTGGTGAAAGAAACATTACTGAGAGTCACTTCATAGTAATGGTCAACCAGAAGATGTTGTGCATGACTGGGAAATTCAAATGTCCTTTTATTCTATGTAGTGTGGGTTACAGAACTGAAAGACAGTAAGCTCATCTCTATGTACAGGAAATGCGACTGCTTTTGTGCAAATCACATGAATAACTTCTAAAATGTCAAAATAAAAACTTGTATGCAAATTAGGCACTCATACAGTATAGGCAGTATTGTCCCCATTTCTTCTTCTACAACTTTCAACACCACTGACAAAACAAAGACAGCAGCGAATGCACGCATATCTTACAGGCCTGGCCTACATTTCCTGACTTGCAAGTACAATTTAGTGAGTCCCACTGAAATATTCAGCGTTCGAGGGTTTCAAACAAAGCGTTGTAAGTTGTGCGCTTTCAGGATGGACGGCAGCTTCCGCTCACTGCACTCGTCCCTCTGTCCACCACTGCAGGACACTGATCTTTTGCTTTACACAATTTGCAACGACGGAAACCACAGCAGCTTGATTCTGACAGTTTCACCAACATCAATTACACTAACAGCTGTAGAGATTCAGCCACTTGCTTGTACTGGAGCATCAAGAAAGTGGACTGCAGGCTACAGGCTTTTGCAGTGTTCCTGAGATACTTCCAGGGCACAGCGATGTTTAGTAGTAGTTGTGAGAAATCCTGCAGCTGCACGTCCACCTGTTAGTCCTTTAAAAGAGAGAGGTAAGTTTGTGTCTTAGGTCCACAGAGCGCACGCTGCAGTCAGATGTAGTACTCCTTCATGTTGTCCCTGACTGAGTTGTGGAGGTGCAGCTCTGTCCTGTAGTCTGTGTACACGCTGTGCCTGGTCTCCTCTTTGATGCTGCTGCTCCTCTGGGCCCGCCGCTGCTGGTAGAGGAGGCGGCTTATCACAGCCAGAGCACACACAGCGATGAAGACCACCGCTGTGACCACACCTGAGAACACAGCAGGGAAGAAGCATTAGTAGGTACCGGGGGACAATGCTGTCAGCCTGGGCTGTCCCCATCAAGTTTCTTCTGTTGACTTCTGATCCCGATTTAAACTGGCGACAATAATGTCCGTTTGCTTCGCCTTGGCTGTGCAAGAATTCTTACCATGAAACACTGAAAGCTGTGCTTGGATACATAGTTTAATTTTGTTCATGGAGATAAATAAATTAGTATCAAGAATTGTTACTTTGACAACACTGCTCAGCTAAGAGGCATAATTGGCCATTGATGTACTAATGTTCTGTTAGTATATTTAAATAGTGTGGGTTTTTTATGCTTACAATGTAATCGCAATGTCCTTGATTGTTTCTTGTGTGCTAGCATCTTCAATAGAATACATAAATACTTTAATTTATGTATTCTCTTGAAGATGATTATAGCGAACCCAGAAGTTATTAAAAATCCCTTTCTTGCAGAGAGTTAGATTAGCTTAGAAGATTGATACCACTCTCATGTCTTTATGGTAAATATGGGCGACCAGTAACAGTTGCAGTCCTGCACATAACCCCCCAAAAACTGAAAAGGGAGTCAAATCACGGTGGTTCAGAGATGGTTCATGAAGGTATTATAAATTCTGTATTATTGATTATTTTTTGTTGTTATTTTCTTGGACCTGTGCAACAAGAGGAGGATGTGACATTCAGTTGATTGAGCTAGACAGAGCTATCCGATCTCGATCAATCTCCATGTAGACACTGGAGACACTCGCTACCATTACTGGGTTCTTCAGCTTTCAGATTCTGTAAACCAATTGCATGTTGTTTAAACTTACTTACTACTTCTTATGTGTTATTCAAACATATTTTAAGATTAAGTTGTATAAATATAAACTTTGTAAATATAAGAGCAAGTTGTGATCAAATAATCTGGGATAATTTCCTCGTCTGTCCACTACAACATGCATGGTATCGCTGAAAACTACAAATTCCAAGCATTCTAATGACACTAAATGCACCACGATTAATAATCCTCACCCACCCGTATCTCTGGTTGAAAATAATGATCAAACTTCACATTTTACAGTTACACTACCATAAATCTCTGTTCTTGCAAAAATATTTCACCTAGGCTCACAGCAGCCATTTAGCTCATCGTAACCATCTGGTGGTCGTGTCAAAGTACGGATTGTAATAAACCAGACACCATTGAAACTGTCTAAATGAGACAAATCTGTTCATCACTCTGTGCCAGGTGTAAATGTAATCAGGTTAATACACTGTAGATATGAGATGCATTTTAATGCAAGGTTTGAAGTGAGTCAGGCTGATGTTGCAGATCAACTCAGGGCACCTTTTATATTACAACAATACAATTCAAGAGTATGGAGAAGTAAAATGCAAAGAAAAGGTTCCCTGATTAGAAAGCACACAGAAATCCTTCAACATTATCACCATCAACTTAAATTTAATTTCAAACAGAGCTGTGTGAGCGACACTAATGAGAATGAGCTTGAGCTAAGTCTGAGTTATCAAGAGACCAGGAAAAAAAAGAATGAAGATGGAGGAGGCAAATGGAGAGAATAACAAATAACAAACAGCCTGGACTCATTTTCAATTAACCAAAAGAAAAATAAAGCGGCACAGAAGAGAGAGACACACAGACCTGCTATTACAGCCAAATCTTTCTGGGTGCCGTTGCCATGCTTCTCCTTGTCTTTGTTCGCTGTAACAGTTTGATCTGGAGAAGCAAAGACAAAAAACAGACACATTCATTAATGTCCCTATCATACAGGAGACACATGTATGACCTTGAGATGTCTGGAATCTCTGAAGTGGAGTTGGTTATGCTTCACTGCTAAATTTTAGAATTAATGCTGTAGTAGGTAGTTTTTATAAAAATATTTTTGTCACATTTGCTGAATTGCTAATGGTATTTGCAGGAATCCACAACCAAGTAACACTAGAACGAGCCAGAGAGACCAGATTTTTTTCAGATTTTCTATCGTATGTATCACTGTCAGAACACAGTGAAAATTTCAGCAATATTTACAAAAAGTTATTTTTATAAAAGTTACCTACTGCATATGACATAATGACCAAATTAAGTTGAGTTTCAGTTTCAGTTTTCCCCCACTCTCTGTATCAACACTAACATCAGATTTTTCTCTATAAACATCTCTGTGGTTGTCATCTCATCTCAACATCACCAACTTAAGTTAGCAACCGTTGGTGACCCATAGGTGACCCATAGGTGACCTATGTTAAACTCTGCTCACATGAGGGTATTGATGAAGTGATGATATGTGTTGATCCAATTAACCCGTGTCAAAGTGTCAGACCGAATCGGTTCTGATGGTGAATAAGCCTTGGAGCAATGGCATGTTTTAGCTCCACACGACAAGCTGTTTTCATGTCGCTGCCAAAATGCCAATTCACAAACTTTCTACTCCCAACTGCGCTCAAACTGCTGCCTGAAATTAATTTCTCTTTTGTTGTTCTACGTCACTTTTTATGTTTTATCATGTATATTTATATACAGCATGTTGGGGGCAGAGTTTCTGCCTTTCCTTACTCTAAATATTAACATTAGTTAAATACAGCACATAATTAAAAAGCTCTAACAATAACTCCGTTATAGAGCATCTCTTCATAAATAACAAATACACAATCATGTTCTTACACATATAACTGGGGAAAAAAACATATTTAAAGTGTAAAAAGATGTGTCACTGCAGAGGCTGTGTTTACAGCTCTATTGGTAAAAATAGAAACACATCTGTTTTTTCAGACAGATGACGGAAAAACACAGCTGGCATGTGTCTGCTTTAGACAGACTGTAGCTAAATCCACAAAACACTAGTTACAAGTTTTAAAGACAGGAACGGTTTAACAGGAAGCCAGTCAGATGGTTATTGTTTTTTAAATTGTCAATTTCCAGAAAGTGCGAGACCGGCACCACAGAGGAAAATTAGGGGGTTAGTAAATACTTTTTGAGGCTTAAAGTGTCGTCCAAACCAAGGTCCCAATTAGACACAGGACCCCTTTACTAGCCTAGTGTGGCTTCGCGTTTTGTCCAATGTGTGCTACAGGCGTCGTCGGTAAACAACGTAAAACTAGGAGATGCGGTGGGTGGAGTTTTACTGTAGCCATGCTCGAATGAAGCAAAGAGAAGAAGAGAAGTGGTCGAGGAGGAGAAAATGGCACGAAAGAACCAAATGGTTACGTAGCAACATCAAGCACTGGAGAGGCCAAAAGACAGAGAAAGTAATTATGGCTGCAGTTATCTTTTTTTGTTGATTAATATGTCAATTATTTTTTGATTAATCGTTAAGCCCATGAAATGTCAGTTAATAATGAAAATTGCCCTCCATAATTTCCCTGGGCTCGTGGTGACATCTTCAAATAACTTGCATTGTCAGTCAGTCATTCATTCAGTTCAGAGATATTTAATGTGCAACAATGTACAGAAAAGCAGCAAATCCCCAAGCTGGAACTAGAAAATATGTTACATTTTTACAGGAACTGGAAAGATTAATTCTTTAGCAAAATTGTAGATTAGTGGGAGGATAAAAAAAGTATTCAGAATGGCGTCAATCACATCACGTCCAAGATTTTAGTCAGTGGTTACAGACTATACTCCAGCGTTTGAGGCTTAGCATGTAGCTCAACCTAGAAATGACTAGTGGTAGTCTGTGTATGAGTTAAACAGGAGAGTGTGTAAATGTTTTACCTTGCAGTGTGTGTGAGGTGGACTCTGCCAGTGCACCGCAATTTGACTGGACCAGTGGACCACGGATGGTGACCAGTGAACTTCCTCGATTTGTCAGCGCCGCCTTCAGTGGTGCCACGTGATTGAACTGGACCGAAGACAGGCAGCCACTGAAACCTTTAGAGGCTGCTTCCATTACTTTCTCATTGAAGTTCTCCCTCCCTACAGAGATACGTAGGTGGAAATATACATTATGTGGTAACATGTTTGATTTTTTTGAATTTAGAGGTCAAGAATGACAAAATAATGGGGACAGCAAATGAACAAAAGTACAATACACGTACAATTAGCAGCAATTTTCTTAACATCACTGGAGGACTTACTCGTGACTTTGCCCAATGTCAGGGATCTGATTAAGATCAGCTCTGCATCAGATGACAGTGTGTACTTTGTGTGGATGTCCTGGTCGATCTGGTTGAGTGGGGAGAAATCAAATAACAAGCCGATTACAAGAAATCTAAACCGAGGTAACAGCAACACCAGCAGGAGCAGCAGATTTTAATACATTATAGATTGTGTTCTCTACGGCTTCACACAAAACCATATCCGCCCACAGCTGGCTTTGAAGTGATTTTGACCTTTCACTTCTGCACCACCGTGCTGACTCAGTTGCACCACTTAACTTGATGATCAGCAATAAAACACTGCAGGATTTTCAGAACGTCCGGTGACGTTAATGACCTAGCCTACAGTGGAACATCTATAGATGATATATATATGATCATCCAGCTACGAATAGATTTCACTGCAGTGGAAAATGTATTTTAACACCCTCTCTCTATTAAACATTTGGATAGCAGTTAGAAAATGCCATTCTAGTTCCTGCTGATATGATGAGTTGAGTCATTGTACTGCAATAGATGAATTAATATATGTGTTGTATGTTGTTTTTTTATTGGTTTATAATCCTAGCATAGAGTAGGCCTTACAGTTACTCAGTTACATTGTGGTAATTTCATGGTTTAAATATTTTATTGAGGTGCTTGAGACATTTGAAAATATTAGGTAGGCAGCACAAATATTTGAAATATTTTTTAAATCTGAATATGGCCAAATGCAGCAGCTGCAATCTTTTGATAAAGGTAAAATGTGACACAAACAGCATTATGATGAAGTACTGTAGTGCTGCAGAGAGGCCCTGGCCTACAAATCTTGCTCTACAGAAGTAAGAAAAATGTTTGCTTGGTACAGACCCCAACGCATGTCAATAGGTTATTTCAGTGAAAATTAAACAGGAAAAAGTTGCAAGTATTAATAATGAACGTGTGGCATAGCCTAGGCTGTATTTGAAATTGCTTAATAACCATGAGTATATGAATGAATAAATAAAGATAATAATAAACCTTTTAGATTATCCTTAAGTGGGGGGTCAGTACATACAATCTCTCTCCAAGACATACATTATAATAAAGCATGTACATATATATATATATATATTTACATATATTTACATAATTATCATGTGCATGTATAATTAACATCACTGTGCATGTATTTATTAACCACAGCAACAAGAAATGTGATCATTAATATGCTGTATGCATGTAGACAAGAGAATGGTGCTTACAGTTTTGGAAAAAATAGACTAGATCCTGAAAAGATCACTACAAGTCAGTTCCACTTTACATCTGGTAAACTTGCTTTGAAATGTCTATCAACAGTCGAGTTTCAAACTAAATTTGCGCCTAGGTTAAAATAGGGGGCTAAAATACAAACAATTCCAGGACAACATAGATTATTTCCAGGATATTTGGTCAGTTTAATCAATTTCTAGTCTGTAAATTTCCAGCTTTTCCATTCATGGGAACCTTGATTCATGGGAACCTTGATTTTATCTTACAAAAACAAACAAAAAGGAAAATGATTTACAGATCAATTATATATTATAAATCCCACCCCAACAAACAAGAACCCAGAAATCCTAAAGGGAGCTAAGTTTGAAATAAGGGTTGGTAGTCAGGTTTGATTTAATATGGCAACATTTCAAGGTAACCTCTACAAATACTCTGCCTGGTCCATCCTGAGATATCTATATAATACTGTAAACATTAATCCAGTAATTCTCAATCTTGGGACACTGTATAAAACTCTGAGCAAGAGTGGCCAATTCTCACATGTGGGTGAAACGGAGGGGAATAACCTGTGCAATTATGGCTTCAAATAATGTAGTCTGTGTACGATCTTAAATGGCATGAGGCCTAATGTTGATGGAGCATCAGTCTACAACAGTTTTGTGCTTCAGAGATCTGGATGTCTCTTTTCCAGAGTGCCCGTATGTTAGAAGTGTCTATTTTGTCTGTTCGTACACTCATGTAAAGGTGTGATATAAGATGAGGGGAATAAGGGGAGTGTCTAACGTAGTGGTAATTTCAAATATCTTTATTTTCATTGTTGACACAGGTAGGCATATCTGGCAGACATCAGTCATCTGGCTGAGATTAACAAAATGCAAATTACTCTACGTCCACTTTCTTGCCTTTTTAGGGAGCTTTTCACCAGATCTGATTCATCAGCACAAGGAGCTTGTCCAGTTGTCATCAGATGAAGTGTGGGACTTCTGACATGCAATAATAGTCGCTCCTAAGAGATTGCAATCACTGACAACGCAAAATACCCTTCTTTATTGCGGAGCCATTTCCCATCTGCTAATGAAGACTGTGAGATGAGCCTGAAAGCTCTACAAAAGCTAGCGAGTGGACTGTGAATTAAGATTATATTGTTAAACTATGTATTCATTTATATCTCCAATGTCGTTGTGACGTCTGGCCACCTAAATCACGGGAAGCAGATTTAGGTGATTTTTGGGTCAAAAGATGTCTAGATGTTTAGCTCAGTGGGAGGGAGCGTTTTGTAGACATCTAGGGCAGAGGCTTTCAAAGAGGGAGTCCAGCCTCCCCAGGGGGGCTCCAAAGGGGAGGCTCAGTTAATGGAAGTGAAAAAATATATCATGAGCCATTACATTAGTTATCAAAAGGAGATCACATAGAATAGCCTAAAAGTGTGATTTGGTTAAATAGATAGTTCAGAGATACAGTAGTTCTGGGAGATTTGACTGTTTTTCCCAGTGTCAGAAACCAATAAATGCCCAAGGACAGAGCTTTTTTATGATTTTTTGATGAAACAGCAATATTAGGCTATCTTGGGTTAATTGAGTGTGCATAAAGTGTCCATAAGATCGAGCGAGAGAAGCAAGAGAGTCAAGACCAAGACAGAAAAGAAAATTGCCATTACCAATGAGATGAGTTTTGACAGCCTGGCATACGATACTAAGAGACATTGTGTCAATGTCAACACCCGTTTCAGATGGATTTTGAATTAAACCAATGGGTATTGGTTGGGTTTTCTGTACTACTGAGTCCAATACAAGTCCGAGACAATAGAAAAACAAAAGTCTTGAGTCCTACTACAGCACTGTGAGGGGGCGCCTTTTTCCAAGTTTTTTCTTAGGGCAGGCCCACAGTCTCAGATACAGCCTATATCAGAGGTTTTTAAAGTCTTATTTTGTCTGAACACCAATATTGAACCCAGTCCACACTACACTTTAAAATAGGGTCAAAGCTGTTTCACACTGACATACAGTCAGAAATTCTGACATTGTTGACCAGAAAAATCACCACATCACAGCTGGGTGTCAACGGTGTGCAGATAGCCTGGTGTTAAATTATTCTATAAATGGTAAAAATGTTGACTAGGATTGTGAACCTGGAAGGTCAGTGGTGAAGGCAAACACACCTCTCTATCTTTGTTTTACACTGCACTATATGAACCACACAGTCCTGCATTGGCTCTAAATGTAGCTGCTGAATGAACTCACTGCTGCAGAACAGTTGCAGATCAGCATAATTTGAGACAGCGGCTGCCTCCTGCATATCCACATGGAAGGCTTCATGTGTTCACTGCTCTACAGAGCCCACAAAGGATCTCATAGGGAATTTGAATCTGAAGTACTTTTACGTTCCCTCGCAATATTTTTGATTTCTATCAGATATGACAGATGTGTTACCAGTACACCGCAGGAGTTCATGAATACAATAGCTTAAATACGACGCCCAGCTGGCACAACCATGTCAATCTGCTGCACACACACAAACCCTGCGTGTAGTTAGTGTTAAACCTATTACAAACCAAAGCACAGCCGCAATCAAAGCCAAAGCTATATCATCCCACGGCAATAGTCACAAACTATGAGAGATTTAAAAAAACTGCATTGCAAAACCAATCCAAAGTTGTCGCTTCTAAACACTCTCGTACAAGCAACATGTGCATTATAAGATGACTCAGTCACCAAAGAAAACTCCTTCCGCTGTTCAAGCAACTATCTTGCATTTAGAAATCCCCAGACAATTGGTAGCCAGGGAGATCTCTAATCGTCTGATATTGGGAGACTAGTTAGTTTAACTAGCTCCGCTTGTTGTCCATCTACCTGGGGCAGCATGGTGGCTCATTGGTTAGCACTGTTGCCTCACAGCAGGAAGGTACTGGGTTCAATTCCCAGCTTGTGTGGAGGTTGCATGTTGTCCACGTGCTTGTGTGTGTTTCCTCCGGGTGCTCTGGTTTCCCCCACCATCAAAAACATGTATTTTAGATTTATTTCTCCAGTCAGTGCCCTTGACCAAGGCACTCGGTCAGATCCTGAGTTGGTCCCTGGGCGCTGTACACTGGCTGCCCACTATTCATAGTATTCAGGATGTGTGTGCAGAGGACAAATTTCACTATACCTTGCACTTGTATTGTATATTTGTCAATAAAAACTTCATAGGATTATTTTTGTGCCTTTTTATAGAGAGAGAGAGAGAGAGAGAGAGAGAGAGAGAGAGAGAGAGAGAGAGGGGGGATAACATGCAGTAAAGGGTTGGAACACAGGTTGGAATTGTGGATCAGAGGGAATGCAAAAGATAATGTACTGCTCACCTGTACATAGAGGTTTTTGCCCACCCGGTGGATTCTGATTCGATGGAGTCGTCCGTCTGCCAGGTTATTGAGGGCGGGGCTGAACACGTCTGGACTCCTGTCTGTCTGAAGGTGATACCAGATCTGCAAACTCCCTGGACACAAAACATGAAAAGACATGTAGCTCTGTCCTTTAACAGGACTCTGTAGAAATCCCCACCTGAGCACTTTATGAGGATTGATTTGCTGTTGTTCACTGCTCAATGCAACTTTGAATAGGCTTCAAGTATGCGTACATTGCTTTATAATGCCAAATAGGAGAAAAGAATACACCTATTTACTGAAATGATGTGGCTGCTTATTTATAAATAGACCCGCTACATCTAAACTTCTTCAATTGCCTTTTGAGATCTCTATCTCATAGCTCTTCGCTCCCACACTGAACAAGTCAATATGTGCTCAGTGTTCCTCCCACACACACAATCGCTGCCGGATCATAGAGTCAGAAAGATATGCATTGTCAAGTGGAGCTGGGTCAATATTACAATTCCCGGTCTGTAGGTGAAGGGCTTTGTGTTGTGATTCATTTCAAATCCTAAGAGTGCTCCTATAGATGGAGGTCACTGTGGATGAAGTGTCTCCTCTGCCCGTCAGTGTTTACAGGGACCTGGGGAACATAGGCATTCTGATTTAGCATATAAGAGTGTGTGAGGACGTTGACTCTGACTAACAGCTGCACATGGGTGTCACTCAATATGATTCTCAAGTTTGGAGACAGCTTAAAGGCTGTCAGCTTAAAGCTTTGAGGCCTTTCTTGTGTCATTACCTGAAAATGCTGAGACACTTAGTTGACAGCAAGAAATAATCTGTAACAAGTGTTACGTATGTGAGGACCTTTTTCTGAAATTTTCTCCACACTCAAAGTAAAAGCAATTAAGTCCAGGTTGGGCCTTTTATTGTTTTGTTTAGGAGGGCTGTCTAAGGTCTTCTTAACATTATCCTTTGGATAAACAAGGACTTTTTTGCAAATGGACTGCTTAAATTTACTGAACATCAATAAAGAAAGAGGCTTTTCAACGATGCAGAGGAGGAGCAGGAGGTTAAATCTATTCATTAGCCTACTCTCAGTTTGCACAAAGTTAAGGCAGCGGCTCTGGTATTACATTCATGCTGGCAGCTTTGGCACCAGCACGACACACATTAACTGCCTGTTCACCGTCAGCCTCATTTTCTCTTCTGCTCCACACCTTTCAACATGCAAATAAAGTTGAGATTTCCTGAAAATTAGATCTAGAGCTTTTCAGGGCCTTAGGTGTTAATGTAAGTGGCCCCAGACTCCCTGAGACGCTCCCTATTTTGCACAGTGTTTGACAGGCACATCTGCACATGTCTTGCAATTGGTTCTTGCCGGAGTTTTAAAAATAACCTCCGATGGTAACTGGAGTGCAACGGGATCATAATTGAATCATTTTTTTTAAGTGGATTCCATTTTTTTCTGCCTACAAAGGATGATCTCTGTCCGTTGCCAAGTGAACTCTGGTGTATCTTGTCTGCGGTGCGAATGTAAAGAGGACCGACCCGCTTTCAAGGAAGCAATAGCCTATGTAATTATTCAAGATCAACTGGTAACCATGGTAACACCTTTGTGTCAGCCTTGAGTGAGGTAAAAGCGGTTACAACAGAGAACAAGGGCGTGTCAAGCTTGTGACCTTCTCCACAACCCCATGTACTGTTTATACCTGTTGGTCATTATTTGATCCAGTTGAAGTTTTAAATAATGCTCACCACCTATTTCTTCTCAAGTTGAATAAATGCATATTGCATGACTGTGTTTTTCTCTTGTGATGATGCAGGACAGTGGTCACCAAAACTGTCCAATAAATTTGAGTGTTACCTTCTAGTGACATTATTTGTTCCATTTTGACATTCTGCTGCCATGATGATGATGTAAACTGTACAGTATTTTATCTGACGGGACTTGAAATGGTTTTAAATGGATGTGGAAAAACTCACATGTAACTGTACTATTGTAACTGTTTAGCAACATTGCTTTGTAACTAGGTGGAAGATATATTTGCTAACAATAAAGATGCTAAGTTTATTGGGTTGGCTGTGTGGGCGTGTTTTCTCCATGTCTGTGATAATATTCAAAAAAGTATTCCATACAGTATATCACTGCCGTAGGTTATTACTTTGTAGGTCTATTTTCTTTGGTATGTATATATTCATGTAAAAGCTGTATGTACCGTTCTTGGCCAGGATGACAGCGATGTACTGCTGGTTGAAGGTGCTGACGGTCAGCAGCATGGCCGGCTTCTGGGAGGTGACAAAGCTAAAGGCCACGTCCTCTCTGGCCCTGCTGCTGCTTTCTGTAGAAACACTGGAGGCCTGCGAGCTTCTGTTCTGCATCACTGAGAAGGGCTCCTGGAAGGTGTAGGTCACTGAGGACTCCATGTCGAAGGACACTGACACCTCTGCAGACACAGGGGCAGGGATAGAAGAACATTTCAGTGCAGGGAACTCGGCTCTAACTAAACAAGGATATAGGGCTAAAACACAGCTAACAACCTCCAGAAGCTGCAACGTTCATTACATCTCATAATATGAATGCAACAATAGTAATGTCTTTCTTCAGAGGTGTAGTGGTGTGTGTATATGCTGAACTCTCTGGGCAAGTGGAATAGTGGCTAGAAATAGCCAGAGATACACACTTGAGTCCATCAAGGCTGCAGGAAAACATGTTACAATATTTCATGCATTGTGTGGTGTTTTCCGCACAGAAGAAACTTTTGTTCCCTGACCTTAAGGCAGTCCGTCCTCCCGGGCGACACGTATACCACCATAACTGTCTCTGAGCCTGGGAAAGTGTCGTAAGCCTACACTCAAAGAATAAAAGCTCCCTCACTCTTTTTGTAACCCAAAAATCTGGTGGCCGATAAAAATAGACCTTTTCTATGTGGATTGTGCTCTGATTTTGCACCAATATGACTATGAAAAGGTGCTTAGAAGTTCCAGGTCAGGTTGCAGTGACTCCAAAATATTACCACAAGCATTTTCTCTGCATTATACATTGAAAAAAAAAAAGTATAATATAACGTATACAGAATAGGCCAACGTTACACACCGGACCTTTAAGGCCAATTCAAATATCTATACATCTAATATATATAATATATATAAATAGTTATCTAAGAATGAGCCATTTTTATCTACAAAGGGAACGGATCTTCTTCTATGGCCTCTTTCTCAAGTAGCCCAGAAAAAACAAACCAATCACAGGCATGTTTTTTTTCCCCCTTTTCCAGTAGAGTTGCAACTACATTGCTAGATGCCACTAAATCCTACACACTGGTCCTTTAAATGGAACAAGTTTTGGTTAGCATGACCTCTTTAAGCCATGTACCTGGGGGGGAAAAAAACCCTTCAAAATAAAGCTACATTATGACCTCACAGTCTCAATGTGAAATCACATCACTGTCATTTCAACTGAGGGCTGAATGCCTGAAGGCAACTAAGTGCTTCATGTCAAACAGTATGTTTCTGTCCACATTTCTGCTGCCATGATGGTGTTAAGTATTTTATCTGACAGGATTTAAAATTATTTCAAATGACTGAGGACAAACAGCTTTCATATGAACAGAATATAAATAGGCAGACCGACTGCTCTACACACTGCTCAGACACATGAAATCACATTATTGCCTCAACAGGTGCTGAGATTTAAAGCTGCCTTAACAAGCAAGCTTTTCTGTGTTTTATGTGATGAAAAAGCCAAATTCAAGAGTGAGTAGGGAAGGGTGGAGTCCCTCAGTAGTAACACAGTCTCTACTAGCAGCACATCCACTGAAGCAGGCAGTCTCGAGGCTGCTGCTGTTCAGAACAAAAGCGCTAATGTATTCATACACTATATATATATATACCAGAAAATAAAGCTGACAGTTTGCTTTGCAAAGCGGCCACATTTGTTGTTTAATCATACATTTTAATGTGGATTGCTTTCATTATGTCAAAATCTCTACAACACAGAGCTTTGAAAATCACGCTATCGTTTATCCAAGAACTGTATTTCACTCCTGAAAGTTTAACTCCCAGAGAGACTCAGATCAAAGGGAGAGTCTATAACCTGCAGGTGACATATCTAATAGGCTCTTCACCACAATAACACAACAAACTGCGTGGTAAGAATATCACAGCAGTCGGATTATCTGTATCCTGGCATGGGTTCATATTTAACACACTGAGCTAGAGGATACTGTGTAAATAGTGCAGAGTGGTTGGCCACAGTTGCAGGCAGAGTTTTAATCTCTTGTCTTCAAACTCTCTAGCATGTCTGTATGGCTGTTTGCTCAGCCTGCTGCTCTTCTATCTGCGCTGGGCATTTCAGTTGTGTTGTGTGTGTCTGAGCTCTCTTCTGTGCTCACATATTGCAGGAGATAATTTGGTCTAATGCATTTTAAATGTTCTTGGAGCCTGGTGTCAGGACAAGTACTAATTGCCTCTTGCATTACTCGCATTTTTATTGATGCGCTGTAATGGAATGACCTTGACTTGATTGATTATTTGTTTGCCGTAATCAACATTAATCTATTAAAAGAACTGCATTAAATTTAGAGTTTCTGTGGTTGATCACGCTCACCTTGGTCGCAGGTAGTTCCCCCGTAAGCCGACTGGGAGCAGTCGCACACATAGCCATTGCTCTTCTCAATGCACCTGCCTCTGTTGTGGCAGAGGCTGCTGGAGCCGCTGCAGTAGCCGGGGCAACCTGAGCTCACCCCGGGCGTCATCTTGGCCCTCTCCTCCAGGTCAAAGCTCACGCCGTTGACGGTCAGTGTCCTGATGCAGCCCAGGAAGCCTCTCTGCTGAGATGCTGTTCCCCCTGAGAGGAGGATGGCCGTTAGTCGCAGCTAATGCTCGCTCACAGGCTGTGCTAAGCAGCTTCTGATGACTTTATAACCACGATTCCCTTTAAGGCTGATGAGGATTTACGACAAACATTTACTTAATTCCAGTGTGCATCTAGGGCAACTCGGTAGGCACTTAAGCGTGTGAACCCTCAATAAGACTAAATATACAATTTAATGGACTACACAAGTTTCCAAGAGACATCACTGTGAGCACATAGAGAACATATAAACATTTCTGGCATGGTGACAGCTGATAATATATGCTTCAGAGACTGATGACTTTGGATGGAAATGTATCATATTGCTATGCCTATAATTTATACTTGGAAAAAAACATACAAAACAGGTGGGTAAAATCTCCATTAATTATACCCTGAAGCTGATAAATGATACTGCTTCATATGGAGTGAAGCTTTGCCTGTATGAACTGCAGGCCTTTATTATTACTTTTGTAGGCATATACATATCTAATGTTTTTTATATTTTGATGGCAAAAACAGCAATCCATACACAATGTTAAATAAATGGTAAAGGACTGAATTTATACAGTGCCTTTCTGGTCTTGTTTTGTTTCAATCTCACTCTTCTCGAAATCACTTTCATGCACTTAGCCCGCACATACATCCATGATTAGTTAGGAGCTAAAATGTGATGGTAAGATAGTAAGCTGAGGTAAAATGAATGGTTCAAAAACACTGCAATCATGGCTCCAAATGGGAACTACTGGGAAGAGAAGTGTGGGCCTGCCAGTTGATGGTCTTGGACACACACACACTCACTATCAGATAGAGGCGAACTTTATGTAGTCTGGGTTTGTGTCATGTTGCAAAAACCTTTTGGATTGCTTAGGCGACGACCACATAGAAATGTACCTCTAAAGACTAATTTTACTTATTTCCATCAAATTGCTTTATTCCTACTTTAATGCCAAAATGTCGTTATCTAAGCAAAACTTTTTTTCTGCCGCTGAAATACATTCATCCTTGTTTTTTGCAAACTGGAAACCTATCTATATGTGCCCTGATTGTCTGTTAGAATGAAAGCATTTAATACGGCTTGGGGTTGCAGCCTTTTAGTGTAATTGCAGTGTAAATAGACAGAAATATTACATAGTAAACTTACTTACTTACTTACTGTTTACTGAAATCTATTATAAAGAAAATGGAAGGAGCTTTTAAATAATTAACAGCCCCATTGTGTTACATACTACACTGTATATTTAAAACATTTTCACACTTACAATCCAATTTGGAGTAGGAAAGGAATTCAACACGGATCTCAGTGTAGTCCACATCAATATTTCATTACCCACCACAACTGTTTTCTTCTGTCAAATAGAACTCTATTTAAGGATGTGACTTGTGGAACTAGTACAATGTAGGTTTTGCATAATACAGATTTATAGTACCATGCAGGGCTATTATTGTCATTGTCAATTAATCTGTCTGTTGTTTAGTCCATAAAATATCAGAAAATAGTGAGAAGTGTGGATCACTGTCTCCCAAAGCCCAGTTGATGGCAATATCTTTTGTCCACAACCCAAAGAAACCAGAAAATATTCCCATTGGAGAAGCTGATCAGAGAATATTTTATTACTAGTATATACTAAAATACTATTATTAATTTATTATCAAAATAGTCAGATGATTAATTTGATAGTTGACGACTAATCCATTAATCAACTAATTGTTGCAGTTCTTGTACCATGTAGGCGAAATTTCACAATGATATTTTGTCTGTTTCCTAAAATATATGCTATGTTCCTGCGGACATTATTTCTATATTTGTGAACTGCGTACTTTGGCAATGAGTTTTTTGTTTTAACGCATTGATAAAATTTGTTTCTTTGTTATATTCCCACATGTTATTTTATAAATATAATTAAAACTCATTTTTATCATCTGTTCAGTATTAAAATGTCAGGGAAAAGACTTTATAACAACGCAATCCCACATTCGTATTAACTTTGTTTCTTTCATCAGAACATTTGAACTTTGATTAAATGACACCTTTGTACCTTCTTATGAAACAACTGAATCTTCACCTAATTACAAGTTCGTCTGAGGTCCACAGAGGATTATTGCTTCCATTTGTCATTTCACTCCTCTGATAAATTATTTTTTTTAAGTAAATGATCCATTAAGTGCATGAACTGAGGCCTAAAATTGAGAACACGTAAAAAAAAACTCTTTTAATGGTATCTCTGTCCCCTCCATAGGGATGGTGTATTATTAAGGAGACATTAAAATGTCAGAAGGGGAGAGAGAAGAAAGAGAGCAGCCATGCTCCTGGGCCACAGCAATAATGAAATAATAATAAAATACATTAGTTCTTCACAGTAGCTTACAGGACAGGCTTTGTATGTTAGTCTATATTAGTGCTATACTCAGAGGATAAATGTACATTTAAAGTGTTATTGTTAGCTATAATCACTTCTTCTCTCAGTTCTGGCTGTTAAGAGACAGCTTTGTAGTGTGACTACACTGTAAGAGATAAGGGAAAAACTCCACAGTCCTTGATCTGTGCACTTTTAAGTTCAGCCATAGCTAATATGAGACTGCAATAGCCAAATGAAGTATCTCAGCTAGTGGTTGTGCATACACAAGAAGAACACATAAAGAGGAAAATATGTACTAAAACAGATACACTGTCAGAAGATACCCACTTGATTTGACTGACTCAGACTGCTGAAGCCTCATGTTAGCCTCAGCTGTACTTTAGAATGCATTTTGGCACAAAAGAAGTGTCTGTCTCCCATTTCTTTCAGTCGTGCTGTGAAAGGATCACTTCAAGGCCAGTTGGGAGAGGAGGGATGATTACAGCAACCAATAACTCTTTCAAAATGAAAGTACATATGGCATGGGAGTGCTGTATTAAGACAACCTTCCCTTTAAAGCTGCCCTGATCAATATTCTTTTTATATTAACAACAGAAAAAAGGACTGTGTGTAATCTTAAAGGTGCCGCTCCAAGTGATAAACCCACACCCGACCCTGCAGTTCTACCCAGCTCTACGGAGGGTTTTACTGTCTTTCAGCTCATTGGGCCATATGCATGAATGTCTCGTTGCATTTGTTCTTGCACAAAGCAACAGTAGGAAAAAAGAAAATCCTACATGGGATGATTCATGAAACGTGCGCTGACAGCCAAGCCGGTTCTTACCCACCTGGCTATATTGATGAATTGTGTTTGATCTTAATTTTACAACTAGCATATGGAAACTCCCCAATAAACCATACAAAGTGCTGTGTGCAAAACCAACAATCTACTGACATTTGACAGGTAACGTTAAACTCAGACAAAAGAAGAAATGAAAGATAAAGGAAAGTAAGGCCATCAAAAAAGACATTTCAACAGACTCCAGCACACTGGAGCCATCATTGGAGAAGTTTCTCTGGGGGTGCAGCAAGGTGCAGCAAGGTGCAGCCAGGTCATGTGCTCCCCCTAGCCAGCGGGCCACTGTATTCAAGATATTATTTGGACAGTATTGGTCTATGATTAAATGGAATTGTTCTCTGTTGAGGAAGGGGAACAGATTTTGAGATGGTGCCTTGATGCACATATGAGTCGATTTATCTGGGTATGCTGAGCAGCAGTGTATGAAAACTGAGTGTACTTGTACTGTGGTGTCAACTAGGGGCACCCAAGGGGGGCAGGGGGCCCAAAACCCAAAAAGGGGAAAAATAGAGGAGGGGGAGGAAAAAAAAAAAATTTTTTCCCCCTTTTTAAAGGGGGCCCCCAAAGGCGCGGGGGGTTCAACTAATCATCTTTAATGAGCGTAACCATTTAAAATTACTATTGAATAAATAACTGTACAACCTTTTTCTTCTGTATTACATGTGGTTACATGTGGTCTAGGGCACTCTTAAGTTTTGATCTTACCTAATAACGGGAAGTACGAAAGTATTGATGAATGCCACAAAACGTACAGTATGTAGGGCTGTCGCAGAATCCGCAATAATACAAGCCAGCAAGCAACCGCATGTGACGCCACATCATCATGTCATGTTCAGTATTGTTTTTTCAAATGGGAAAGCGCCCTAGAGCAGCAAAGCTAAACAGACTCCACACAGCAGAAGCACTACTCGGTATCCCTCAATTCACAGCCCTGGATTACAATACCACACAGGTGGAAGTCCTGTGGCTCGCCAGTGTTTTGATTTAATGAGAGACATTCAACTGGCAACTTTATTCGGCTGAAAGTCGCCAGTTAACAGGGTCACAGATGCAGGGTGACAGAAGAGGGAGAGTCCAGTTAATTAGTACAAGCTGGAACTGAAAAGACACATTATCCTGTTGTACAAAGTAATTGGCAAAAATGACAAAAATGTAATGGTACTGCTGCGCTGAACCACACTGCGTACAGAGGAAGCAATTTCCATTGTGGTGACTAACGATTCATGCATGAGGCCCACTGTTTTGGTTTAAGTTGCCTGCAAATTTACTGTTTTCATCAACATCATTTCCATCAGCAGGAAGCGGTTTGCAGTACAAAAAAAAAAAAGCTCTCCACTGCACACTACCATCTAGCACAGACCAAGTTAGTCACTACTGTAGCTGGTGAACATAGCATTTAGCAGCTAAAGAGCCAGATATGTCCCTGTAGATTTGTTGGAGACCAAAAACTGAGTGAATATTAGACCACAAACAGAACTCCAAATAACTCTCTCAGGTGGAGGTGTATTCAGTCTGATGGTGACCCTACCTACAAACAGCTGGCTGCTGAGCCGTAAGCGGGGGTGTCCGTCAGCTGGAGCCTCCAGGAAGCGTAGGGGGAGCTGGTCGACCTGCAGGGAGGCCTCCTTCACATTGCGCTCTGCCCTCACGTAGTGCCACTGTCTGTCATTCAGAGGGAGGTGGGACTTCATTGACAGCACCACCGGACCGTTTCCCACATCAAAGGAAAAAGTCACCGCCGAGGGAGCTGGGAGGTCAGTGGGGAATCGTACACACACACACATACGACAGCCAGGTCAGACTGAATGTGATATTAGGTGTTTTATGTCTTCTCTGTCCTGCCTTTCTGATGCAATGCGATACAATGCTGCTGGGAAAACTTGATGACCTGAATAGATTTATGAGGGGGCTCAGCTGACAGCTCGTCAATATTTCACAATGTCTCTGATGCTGCAGTAATATATAATGGCTCCAAGTATCCTGAGAACTCTTGCCTAAGATTTGCACACACTGTAATCAACAATTACACACCTTTTTAAACAGTTGTAATAAATAAACTAATCCACTGCCACTTGAACTACCTCTCTGAGGACTGGATATATACTGTGATTATTAAATATTCTCTTTGGTAAGTACAAACTCACACCCATGCAATTTTCTTGCAATCTTGAGAACTACAGTGTATTTCTTTATTGGTGCTCATGTATGGAGTCTCATAATGGATAAATGCACACAGAAATGAATAAATGCACGAAATATATACACAACACAAATATATACACAACTCCACAAATGTATTTGTGGAGTTGTGTATATATATATGACTCGATCACAAATGCATTTTCAATGCACACACAAATATGCTTCAATCCATATATAAGTAAAAAAAATTAACATATAAAAATAAGATTTGTAAACACATTTGCGATGCACACACAAATATTTCTTGTTTTAAATATGTGCAATAAAAATTCACAAATGTACAAATCGTCAGGTATTTTCAATTTTCATCAAATACATATTTGGAAGTTGTTACATTGATATATGAATTGTCAAACGCGCATTTGTCTCAGTGCTTTCAATTTGTAAACCTCCCTGCATTTGTGTGTGGATTTTTGAGACTCTCCTGACGTGACTCTGATACACAAATTCATTTTTTCTACAAGGGGGTCGTCTGCAGCCAATCAGATGTCTCACTGCTTTACAGCCAATCACATGAGTGTCTCCCCATGAGGAGTTTTTAACTGACGTCATTACAGCGCGCAACGGATATGATGATGATATGAACGAATGATATGGATCTAGATCATGATCTAGATGGGCCAGAGGAGACGGCAGCGAAAAAAGGAAACATGGCGTCTGGAAGCCGCAACCGCGACAGTTGTTTCACTTACACTTAAATTGTCGCGGTTGCCGCTTCCAGACACCATGTTTCCTTTTTTCGTGAGGCACTCATGTGATTGGCTGTAAAGGAGTGAGACATCTGATTGGCTGCAGACGACCCCCTTGTAGAAAAAATGCATTTGTGTATCAGAGTCACGCTAGAAGAGTCTCAAAATTCCAGACACAAATGCAGGGAGGTTTGCAAATTAAAAGCACTGAGACAAATGCGCGTTTGACAATTCATATATCAATGTAACAACTTCCAAATATGTATTTGTTGAAAATTGCAAATACCTGACGATTTGTACATTTGTGAATTTTTATTGCACATATTTAAAACAAGAAATATTTGTGTGCGCATCACAAACATGTTTACAAATCTTATTTTATATGTTAATTTTTATTTTACTTATATATGGATTGAAGCATATTTGTGTGTGCATTGAAAATGCATTTGTGTATCAAGTTATCTATATATACAACTCCCCAAATACATTTGTGAGTCCTTTTTCGTGTATTTATTCATTTCTGTGTGCATTTATCCATTATGAGACTGTTCTGGCTCCATACTCCTGTAAACCAGTAATTTTTTTTTGTAAATCTATGTTTTGCAGCATTTTCTCTTCTTTTCCCTATTTGTTACAGTAAATCTGTGAGGCAATGTAATGAAGTCCTGCTTCTTTATTCATCTGGCGTATTCATTAAGGATTTCAGATTTCAGCTGCAGTAGTAAGGAAATGCTTTTAATGTCTCCTATGACAGCATGACATTGCTGTTGACTATGTCATTAGGATTACATCATGCTGTGCAGACTTGACAGCCTGCTTCTCTGGGAAATTAAACTGTCAACTACAGTGTAGCTGGCATTTCCGTCTGAGAATAGCAATATATATATATATATATATTACTGACAGCTTTTGTGGGCGTTCTTATGTATGACTGTTCTGTGTTCATGTCCTTGTCATGTACTTTGTGCATGCTGCACTTCTCTTATTCTGGTCCGAATGTTTGACTCACAACTGAGCTCCACTCGGATGAAGTCCTTGAGGCCCAGGTTCTCCAGAAACACTCCTGAAGGAGCACTAGTCTTGAAGTAGAAAGAGATATCAGACGCGAGCTCAGCCTGTAGGGTAGGGAAGTAGAGATAGGAGGACTCTTGGTAGAAAGACGCTGCGTTCCATATAGACTCTGAAACAAAAGAGAAAGTAAAGAAGGGAGTAGTCAAAGGAAAGGGAAAATGAAAGCAAAGTGAAGGCAGGAAGATTACAGTGTCTAATTAACTCCTTGCTTCCCTTACTTGCATCATTTCATCACATTTGCAACCATGAAGTACAAGAAAGGAGGGATTTAATGAAACATGACATCTGAGTGTTTCCAATGTTGACTTCTGGTAGGAAACAGGAAGCAAATTGTGGTCTCTGGTGTCAAAATTCACACACATTCCACAGCCGACCATCTGTCTCAACATCCTCCCTAAGAGGTTTTGAAGTGGTATAACAACATCACTCTATATCCTTTTCCATTCAAAGAGCGCAGCCATTATTCACGGAATTGTAAGAGATCCATTGTCAGGAAAACATCTAAATAAATAATAGTTTTAAGCATGTTAACTATTTGAACCAACAACGAGTGCTGTTTTCAGCTGGTGCCGGCATCTCCTGAGAGAAATGCCCATGACGTTTGTTAGGAGAGCTCATAGCCATGTGATGCTGTGGGATCAGAGTTAAATGATCATGTCAAAATACCACAAAACTAAATCAGTTTATTTTAGACAAAATACTGTGAAGCCACTCCCACTCTCTTGGAGGCTTTCCTGGCCCCAGCAGGAAATAGGTTGACATGGAAGCTGATTAAGCTAAGCTGGACAGTCACTGCCTCCCTTCCTGCAGCTGGAATCCACATTGCATTACTGTCTTTTGTCTTGTATAATGATTCTGTGTTAAAGTTAGTTTAATACATTACTCTTGTTTTAAGTAAATCTCTTCCGTGGACTCCCTACTTGTCACATTCCTTGAGCAGTTTGTGATAAATGGGGGGCTCGTCCAGGATCTGAACAAAGGAATAGTCCATGATTTGCATAGTTTTGCGGAGTTGTTAGAAACTAAATGCCAATTACCTACTGTAAGCTATTTCTCCTGTCTACTTCTGTTTTCTACTATCAGCAAAGTATTTTCCTTATTCTATTTATTATACAGTACATGCTCATAAACTCCTTATATAGTTATACATATATAGCAAATTATGATAAGAATGTCTCATAATGTGTAGAAATTGTTTAGTAGCCGGACCAAAAAACCAACTAAAATAGGTCACATCACATGTATATTGTTGCATGAAATATTCTACATGTCTTGTCCATAATTTTAAACATACTTCAGACTGACACATTTGATGTCTTTAGTAAATGGATTTAAAATAAAATCATGGGGTTTGAACTACATTTGACTGCAGATGAGCTGCTAAAAATTCCCCTGCTCTGTGTCCACAGCTCACTCTGGGACATGCAAGCAGTAAATATCTACAATCTCTTTCATGTTCCAGTGCTGCTGTCCAGCTCTGCTTCCCCCCTGAATTTCCCCACAATCTGGTAGCCCTGCCTGGCTGCACAAAAATGAGTTTGTAAAGACGGACCTCCTGGTAGGTCCAGCAGATTTTAAGGTTATAGTCCACACAGCCAGTTTGAACAGACTTGAAACAGAACAGATGAAGTTTAACTCTCTATCCCTGGATAAACACACAAGGAATAAACACATCATCTGAGCAGGGTTTGTGTCTGATCAACAATAAGCCTGGGAATTAAGGCCTCCATCTGCAGCCAAATCTGGCTCGGCAGCTTCAACACCGAGGTGATCACCTACTGTCTCCATAACAACGCAGAGGGCCGATGTGGTAGACGGCCTGCGAGCCCGTTCTGTTGGTGTCTCCAATGACTATCTGGCTCACTGGTAGGTGGTCTTTATAGGAGAGGACTCCTGTGTCATTAGCCCTGTGGCAGACAAAAAAATAAAATAAATAAACTGTAATACAGAGCCCTCAGGGCTGGATGCCTTTATGGGGGTCCAGATAAAGGCATCCATTCTTCTGCATTAGCACAGAACGCAGAGTAAACACATTAAAAAGGGAGCAATCTATCACAATGCAGACAACTGCCGCTGGAAATATGCAAAGTGAGCTGAATCGAGAGAAGCTTTGGAGTGGATTAACATACCATAAACAAATACACCAAAACTATGATGCAGCCTTTGTTTCATCATTTAGAAATTATAATTAGTACGATCATAATTGTAATATTATGTATGGGCTGTGATTAATCAGTTTAGACTCAACACTGGTTCATGAAATTGTTGAAGATAGATGCAAATAGATGCAGAAGAAAAACTGGTCCTCTGTAAGTGGTTATAGCAATTTAGGAATATTCTTTAAATGTCTAATCTATGAACTTTCTACCTCTGTAGTATTGATCTCTCTTATGGATAGATTATGGATATACCATAGAGTGATTTAAGAGAGATAATTGTTATTGATTATTTAATTTTTTTTTGTAGTTCTGTAGATCTGTAGTTGGTCTGGTTAATTCATATTTGGAAGCTTTTAGAACCCTTTAGATGAGGGAGGGGATACTATACGTGTAGACACATACTCTACTTGTAGTGCTTTTCCACCAAATTAGCTCTAGTTGTAGTTCATTTGCATCAGCTTTGAGAGGAACCTTTGTAATCATATGCATCGTTAACAAAGGGCTACAGGCCCTTTCCACTAACAGAGAACAGGCTCCATTCTGGTTCCCACACCCAGTTTGAAATTGTTCAGAGCATTTTGACTCAAGTTAAATTGCTTTTGAACCCAAAAAGTTGGTTCTCTGCTGGAACCAAAAAAATAGCAGTTTTTTCTGGGGAAGTGGAAGTGTCATATTCTACAGATAGTTGAGCAACGCCTTCTGCATCCATTATTACTATGGTTCCACTCAAAACTGGCAGACATGCAGGCTGGTTCACTGGATAGCCAACAATCTTGAACGAAACCAGAGGTGGAAAAACAGGTACACCTAATGCAGTCTAATACAACAGTCCTGCTATAAATCCTCCTTCATGAAGGTTTTAGAGAGGTGTTAATTCAACCGTATGGTCATTCTGGAGGCTGCAGTTGTGGTGCTGTTGAACTCTATTGCATCATTCAGATGAGTATTACTGTTATTTAAACCTACCCTCAATAATATGAAAATGGTGGACAAAATGATAGACACATCTCTTTCAATAAAAATATATTTTCAAAATACAAAATAAGAAAAAATATTTTAGGGCAAGAAATGCCATATTGCATGTACCATGTGTCTGTATCAGCATCGCAGTTACAGAAGTAGTTCATGTCCATGCAGTTCTCCTCCAGGCTGCAGGAGCACTGCTGAACTCCAGGCAGGAAGCCTCCCCAGTAGCTCCGTCTCTCTCCTTCCCGGTCCAGCCACCAGGACAGCGGACTGCCATCTGCAACAATGCAGCAGACAGTCAGTGACCGCTGCAACAGCTCTGCCAGTGTGCCACAGCCCAAGCCCAAGTAGGTCAAGGTCATGGGTTATATTTGGAGGATTGCATTGTTCTGCTTCAGTGGCTTTATCTTAAAATGAAAAAAAAACTATATATGGAAGTGCTGAAAAAAAACCAAAGGCTTTATAGATAAACATGCTGCAGAAATCCTTTTCTGTCGGAGGCAGCTGTGCCGAGAGGTTTATATAACATGAAACATTAAAAAATAAGAATAATATCAAGAAAATAAAAGCAGGAATGAAGGTAAATAACATAACCTCAGAAAATAAATACAAAGGCAGGTTTATATATTTAGAACATTTGCGATCAAGTATTCAAGCATTGGGGAAGAGAAAAAAACTATTCAAGCACACTTTATCAGTTTGCACTTAAAAATAGAGCAATAAACAAGATATAATGTTTGCTGAAGACAATTCAACAATTATTAGTTGAGAGTCAGCAACCGTTTTCTGATATTACACCACTGTGGTTAAGATTTGGTTAGATTTAGGCACAAAAAACATCTGGGTTAGGGTATGTTCATGAATTCACACATGCTCTTTAGATTTATATTCTGTTAAACATATACAGACAAAATGAAACGGTGGAAATGTTACGAATGCTCATTAAATCTGTAGAAAGACTATCCAACTAAAGTGTTAGCAGATATTCACATGCATAAAACATGTTTAAATACTGTCAGACTTCATACACAGGTTCTCTCACAACTCCATGTCATAGCTAAGTCATATGCAATACATATAAATACACACACACACACACACACACACACACACACACACACACACACACACACACACACACACACACACACACACACACACGGTAGATTTATTCTGTTTGGCTGTTTTAACTTATAGATTTAAAAGCCTAACAAACGATGGAAGGGGGCTGCATGTAAGCTTCGGCTGGACGAGCTATAGACATTACATCTGGTGCATTGCTTTATTTGTATGCAACAATGTTTATCTGTGTGGTCTCTGTTAAACAAACAAATAAATAAATAAAACCTGTGCTGGAGGCTGAGGGCTTACACAGAGACCTTTCCGCAACACTCAAACCAAGATAAACACATTAATTGACTCTCCATCCCTTATGCTATTTATTTATATTTGGAGGACAAACAGATAGAGTACAAATGGGGAAAGATAAGAATGAACAAATAAAGTCAAAACATTTCTGATAAATCTCTTAAATGTACCCATCTCCTCATGAATTGTGCACTTTAACCAAAATGGCTGTTTTCTTTGTGGCATTAATGTATTTGTTTTAATTCTCTGCATGGCATTTCATGACACATTGCCTGTGACTGTCAATGAGGCGACAGCCATGCCATAAATGCACAAGTCATTGCCTCCACTATGGGGTTAAGTGGTCCAGCTTCAATCATCCGTCACACAACGTGACCCTGCATTGCAGATGAGGCCAGCGTGCAAGGAAAAGCCCATTAAGCTACATGTCACAATACATAATCAAGTGTCACATGCTATGGTGCTTTCTTCCTACCCCAGCATACATTATAGCTGCATTAGGCAAGGTTTTTATATGTGGATACACATACTAGATGTCCCATCTCCATCATCCTCTGTTTGCCCAAGTGAAACTCTCTGCCTTTGTGTATATAACACTCACTGGAAATCCTCTCCAAACAGGATCTGATGTCCTATGACTAACTGCCTAATAGCACAGACCAAAATTCGAAAGACAAAAGTTACTTGTACTCAATGGTGAAACACAGGCACTGGGGGAAATAATGAGGGCTTGAGCAACACTGGCCAGCCAGCCAACATTTGCATTACAAAGGCCGAAAATAATACAAGCTGCTTTATTGTCTTTACCCTCTATCCCTGTCCTTGCACTCACTGCAGACATACCGCATCCCTTTTCCTTCCTATTCTGCTGCTTATAGGAAGACTATTCAGACGCTGAACAGGTGCACAAATAAGAAAAGGCAACAATCAATACTTCCTGAAGGAGAGGTGAGTCTCACCCTCTCCCTCAAATTGGCTGGATATTGACAGGACTTGTTCACAGCAAGAAAAGCAAATGCACCTTGCTCTCTGCTCTACTGAAATGAACGGAAACATTTTGACAACTGATTCATAAAACCCGACAAGCACCTGGTAGAGTCTGCAATGTTCATTACACTAACAATACAAAGGAGTTGGGAGCAAACATGGTGCTAAAGGAATACTCAGACAGTCAGACATACGCACTCATTTTCCACTATTATTCAGAATCGGACAATATTCCAAATTTGATACAGGTCATGTAATCAGAATATTCTGTACATTGTCAATCAGGCCTTATTCCAAATGTAGAATTTTCAGATTAAGACATTTTATTATTATTATTCATTATTATTTGGGTTTTAGGAGGATACGTACACTGCGCATTGGGAACATGTGTCTCATTTGGGGTTTTTAACTGCTGTTTCTTCACGGCCTCTTGCCTGTTTATGGTCAGCTCTGCCCCTCCCCAGCCAAGAGCCGGTTCTCTGGCTGTTGAAATGCAAAGAACTGGTTTAGGCACTGGAGATAAGGCACTGGCTCAGAAACAGCCCTCAAACTGCTTTGGTGGAAAAAGTCTCAGTGTTGTAAACAAACCGATTAGCCAACAGTTTGCAAGGCTGAATTAGAGAAAAAGTCCACATTTCTGGTCGGAAGGAGAAATACGCCTACTTTTAAACATTATGAAAGACATAGATATCAACAGGTTTTTGGATATGTGCAAACATCGCAACACCGACCTTTTCAAGAAGCACTGTACACATGTCCAAAGAATACTCAGAAAACCTGAATATTATCGGCATACCCACGTCTTATAGTCAATGAAATGAAAATAATAACTGAAATACTTTCAGTTTTCAGAGTTTCAGTTGATAGGTCTGTCGATGGTGATATAACATGACATTCATTGGCAGACACTGTTGTCCAAACCGATTTACAATAAGTGAAATTTGAACTCCACAGGAACAAGAGCTACTTGTCATCAAAAACTGGTACTTCATCAATCTAAAACAAGAGCGCTGCAATACAGGCGCTTTCTTTAATTTAAAAAACAAAACACATCGCAGCAGCTGCTGGTCGAATAGGCCAACATCATCGTTCTAAGATCCCATCTCTAGCTCTGTTTGTATGAACCACAACCAGTCAGAGCAGTCCGGTGGATACAGATGAGTGCGTTGCAAGCTTTAATGAAGGCTTTCTAAATGCCAAGTTGCCTCATACAGTATACCTAAACAAATGCATCAACGCTGGCAAAATGGATACACAATAAGAATGTGAAAACGAGCACAACTGAAGAGTACACTAAAAAGAGCATTAAATCGCTGTTGTGAATGTTCGTCACGTCGCTGTCATGTTAAACAGAGTTGCTTCTAGGCAAACTTAATTCAATATGGGTGTTAAATAAGGGGGAAAACAATGCAAATCAAGCCACAGTTGAACAGCATTTCAAGGACACTGAAAGACTGAACATCTGTGTGAACAGTAGAACAGAGACTGACAGGAAAGATGGCAGAGAGGGGACAAGTGATACAGCTAAACTCCACAACTGGAGGTGAACTTCAGAAGTTCTTGGCACATGCCTGGATCTATAGTCCCAGTGGGCTCCTTTGAACAGCTGTGGCTGTTTTTTTCATCCCCTGTAAATTAGCATGGTAAGTGCAATTTTGTCCAATAATTAATCTGAATATGCTGTAAAGTATGTTTGCTGTCAGAACTGATATTGCTCGTGTCTACACGCTCATACAACAAAGGAAACAATCAAAAAAAAAATGTTGACTGTTTCTTAAAGTGTTCATGCAGCTATAAAATTGCCTGTTTCCCGTCTCTCTTTGATGTCTGGTGTGATAATGAACTTGTTTGTTTGCACATGCATGGCACCCAGGGAATGGTGGAATCTGGGACTTCATGAATGTTTCATGATTTAAGAACAGAATGTTGTTTGGGGCCACCATAGGTGCCAGAGCGGTTCAAGATGAATGCACACAAAAAGATTGGAGACTGCCTCTCTAGTTATTGTGAAAATATAACAAGAGGAGCGAAGGAGAGGGCAGGGTGTTGAAGGGACAGCAGCTCCCAATGTGACAAAGCACAAGACCGCCTGGCTTTCAATTCACAATGTAACAACAAACAGTCCCCTGATGCTGTAAAGCACGGAACATTCAAAACGAACAGCGTCCGCGCTGAGGCTGTGACTTCCACTTCAGCTCTGCATAAAAAATGGAGATACCTCATTCATTTGAACGTAGCCAATGCGGCGACTCAGTGGGGGTGCCAATGCAAGCACAGAAGGCTGTGGCAAAAAACTTGAATCATTCCATATATTCCTGGTAGAACACTTTGTAACTAGAACACCTTGTTTCTATGGTTTACCTTACAGTTGTAAGACGATACATCAATAGGAATAAATCCTGTCTCACAGTATTACAAAGCATCGTGCAGTGTTTTGGCAACGCTACACCAAAAACAAATCTGCAGACTCACTTGCTAACATTAGTTTGCTACCCAAGTGAAGCAGCGGGACTGTCACGTTTTTTTGTTTGCTTTGGTTATTTCCTGTTTTATTTTGTGTGTGTTGTTTTGCTTCACTTCCTGTCATTGTCTGTTTCCCCTCCAGTGTTGATCGTCTGCCCCACCCTGTGTCTTGTTATCCTTCTCCTCACCTGTGTATTTCGTCTTTGTGTTTTCTTGGTTCTCTCAGTTCATCTTGGTTTTGTTCGTGGTTGTTTGAGCCCTGGTGACTTTGTCTCTGGTTGCTTGTTCACTGTGTTTCCTTGATGTTTTTTTTGCTTTTGCATTCCTTTGAGCTGTTTACCTGCACCTGCCCGTTTATAATATGATCATATCAAATCATCAAATTCATCCTGCTTCCTGTGCTGTCTTGCATTTGGGTCCAATCCTGAGTTTCCTAAGTTGTGACAGGAGCAACGTCAAGTGTCCAACCTTGTCTGACTTCTACTACTACGAACAAATTGTGTGTCATTTGAAATTCCTTCAAACTTTGATTTTTGGAAAAAGTGACAGCCCTGCTTTAAACGCATTAACTGTTACTCAAACTTGACTTCCTGGATCATAACTGAACGGTACCGTAAGCCAGGGGCTCCCAAACGTTTTCATGTCCAGGGCTCCTCACAATAGATGCACATCAGAACGTGGACCCCCAATTTAAGAAGATCAGAGGAATCCCCTCTGAGTAATTAAAAGTGATAAAGATGAAAAAAAGAGTCTACATCTACGATCAAACTGGGACCACAATAAATTACAATCAATGAAAACAGCCAACTCTATTTCTTGTCTTCTTTTTCCAACTTCCAAAAAATTTGATAAAAGTTAAAATACTCCTTATAAGCCACTCAAGGATCCCTGTTAGTCCCCAGAACCCCAGTTTCATAGCCACTGCCTTAAGCAGTGTCTTTTTTGGCTGCTGAGTCTCAGCTGGTTAAAGTGAAATAAAAAGTCCCCTGTGCTCAGTTATCTTTTGGTATATACTAAATATATGGGAAAAAAGACCAGCTATCCCTGGCCATCATACAAAACCAGACCTGACTGTTGGCTTGAGTTGTAGTTTGCAGAGAAAATTTTCAAAGAAAATAAAGACATTCTAATTTCCGTTTCACTATGGCTTTCAAATCTTCATTCACTCCCCTCCTGCTCTCTGCGACCACCTGGACTGTGTTTTAATGCAGCTACACCCACAATGTATGAAACACTGATTTGATCTCAGCTCAGTGCCAGTTGGACATTCAGAGAAACATAATACTCACCTTTTGTATTAAAGAGGCGGGACCTCTTGCAGTCGTAAACCACTTCCTGTTGACACTGCTCTGACCCCGATACGATGGCTTGAAGTTCTTCTGCTGAGGCACTGTAGTTGAACTTCATGATGTGAGGTTTGAGAAGAGAGGAGCCCTGGACTGTGACTGGAGCCGTGCTATTGTGCGCCAACACCGTCCATACCTTCTCCTCTGAAGGAACAAAGTTAATCTGTTAGCGTGGACCCACTGCAAACACCTTCTCTACATGCATGTTAGACTGCTAGTATGATCTCATCAGCAACAACCAAAAACATATGTGGAAACAGCCGCATTTCCACCAACAGTATCCGGAACTTTTAGTCCCAGGAACTACTTATAGAGAAACTAAAAGGTTCCTCCAACGCGTTTCCACTGCACTAAAGACTAACTGGTTTGGAACTGTGCTTTTTTCTTTTTTTTAAATAGTGGCTGAAATAAAATGCTGCAACTTCTTTACCAATCAGAAATGTTCAGTGCATCAAGCCCCACCCCTAAAGTTCATGTACTTTTGGAAAGTATTACCCTTCAAGCAAGGACTTTTTGGCAGGTAAAATAATGTCCCTGGAACATAATTTATACCCTTTATAACCAAAGGTTTCTAGTTTCCCAGGGAAAGTTCCTGCAGTGGAAACACAGCTAAGGTTAGCTTGTTAGCATGAACCAATCCAGGAGTTATGTTACACAAGCCTGTTTCCTTACAAACAGATTTTAGGAGAAAGCGGATTGATCATCATTCGCTCCAAACAACTGCTCTAAATAGGATACATGTTCTGCTATCAGCATGATGTCATCAACACCTTTTCCCATACTAACAAAATAATGTGTTAGCCCGTCAGCATGATCTCACTGTGCTCACCTTCAAGAAAAAATCTTTTATTCTAAATACAAACCAGGTGTTGTATTGTTAACGTGAATCTAAATAAATATAAAGCATGTGTCTGTTTGGATAAACCCGCTCACTGCTGGTGTTAGGTTGGTATGTGTTTGCATGAGCAATTCACTCGCACCTTTTCCTCTAAATGCAAAAGCACACATACATTTTTTTGTAGGTTTATTTCTAGGAGCAAATGTCACAATCTCAGTTATCATGAGGGGGAAACACAAGATTTATCATTTTCATAATTCATTGTTACATTCAATTATTAAGTCACACCCAGGGTTGACAGAAACCCTGGGTGTAGCACCCCCATCACGGCAAACGTTCCCACAAAAAGGAAGCACCATACGAATAATTGAACAAAACAGGCGAGTCTGAAGCTGAAGTTCACAAATAAACAGTGGTTTAATGAGCTGATAAATATATAATACAGTAGGTGTTTTGATTTATCATGTTGCTATGCAATTGCTTTGACCCATTTGTGTGTCATTTATTTACTGTACATCTCAGCATCGTGGTTCATTAGCGAGCGAGTGAGGCATTCTGCGTTGCCGGCTGAAACATCAGTGCGACTGGTGACATTTCACAAATGTTTGCAGTTTTGTGTCTGAAAACCTAATAAATGCACTTGTTTCCAAGCAACACTTCTCTATCAGCCTTCTCCATCCCCAATCTGTGAACCTAAAACTTCAAACATCCTGAAAATAAACCTTACAGTAACACAATTAACACAGCAGAAGAGCTCTTTTTGCCAACAGCCTGCATTTGTTGCTAACAGAATAAGACACTTGACTGCTTGTGAGCTGATTTCATTTACACTTACAAAAGACAGTCAAGAGTGTGCACAGTAAAATCAGATGTTCTATTTCCATCCCCACTCACTTTTCATTATGTGTATTTCACGTTTACTCTGCGCTTGAGAAAATCCCTCTTCGCTTTATGATTATTCACATCAGGCTGTCAGGCTTAGAGTTATTTACATTTCTAATAGATTCCTTAATTGAGGTCAAGTTGAGGCATATCTGCTGCCAAATAATTCATATCTGTGCGGGGAAGACAAAGCACAAAATGCCAGAGCCAGACAGCAAGAGGTGGCAGCGCTCTCCTCTGTAACACCACCGGCACGTTAACCTTGCAAAGGACAAATTAACTGATGAAGTTGTGACAGCTCAGTCATGAATACTGTCTCCACAGTGTCAAAACTTAACCGAATATGTTTTGTCCTATATGTCACGAGGACTGTGGATCAGATTGTGTCCCTCTCCCTGTCTGTCAAATGTCACATCTCAGGTGACAGTTCAGGTGATACAGAGCGCTTTGTGTTCTTGCCATCAACACATCACACGGATACAGCAGATACAGTCTGATGGGGCGATAAAATGAAAGGTCCAAGTTTCAAAAGACCATTGCTTTTATGCTATAAACATTGAGCTAGTTACACAAATCCAACTGTACTGCCAAATTATGCTAATACTGTAAATAATTAAATGTCAAATAGGAATGTCATTCCTTTCTCCAAAACTCAACGGATTGCCATGAAATTTAGTATGGATATTTGTGCTGGCCAGAGAATGTTTGGTAATGATTTTATTGACTCGTTACCCTCAACTTTCCTTTAGCGAGAGGCCAATCGTTTCTCCTTGAGCAACACATAAATACCAGGACATGGTATTTCAAAAATCAATGGGCAAATTTCTGTGAAATCTGATGTGGATATTCAAGAAAATCCAATTGAAAGGGGCAGATTGCTGTGGAATTTATTGCACTTATATATAGCACCACCCTAAGTTCAAAATATCAGTGGCACACAAAATGTCTTATTTTGTAATTTAATGGCAGACCACCATGAAATTTACCAAACAGATTAGTGCTCCAAAGAGGATTAACCCTTTTGACTTTAATGACCCCATGCTCTAATGAATATTGCAGCCTCTAGAGGCCACTTGTGAGGCTTTTGACTTGTATGCTTGTTAAATTGTAATCTTGTCATGACATTTTTTAAGATTGAGAAGCCACAACCTCTAATGATTTTAACTAACTGGATCATGGGTTGCTTGCAGTATTTGTGGGCACTTTTTCCCATTTGAAATAAAGTATAAGACAGGATAAGGCAGGATGTTATATACATAATGACTTGTCACACTTTATCTGTAAGGTGGTTTTAGACCCAATTATAGATTAATAGACTATTTAAGGGTGTTCACATCTGGTTCATTTGGTCTGGGCTGAGGGAAAAAAATATACACTGTTGCATTTAGTTCTGGTCTGAGTCTGCCCACACTGCCATTTTACAAACAACCCCAGAGTACATGAAGACAGTTTTCAGTGACTGACAGAAGTTTATGTAGCCCTTCAACGCTTCTGATGTGTATATCTACAGTATGTAGCTCAGAGAGAAAAACATCATCAGCACTATTAGTATTATTAGACTGCAAATCGATTGCATGTTATGAATGATGACAAACAGATAGCGACAGGATGAAAAAGATCTGTCGTGTACAGAAATATGAACCTAATGAACCGACAAAGTGCACAGAGTAGGATGGAAGCCCAACACACTGCAGTTTTAACTGCTTTTGACAGTCTCATCGATCAGGGACAATCCCCACACTCACATGCTGACATAAGTGTTACCATGGTTACGAAAAAATTCAGGTAAATATATACACCACTTATAGAGATTCATAATATTCAATTTCTTTCAGAACAGCTCACAATCAGCAGATGGATTTAACAGTAGGTTAATACTATTTGATAGCTTTTGAGATCAAGCTAAAAATCAAAAAATATTGCAGTTGGACAGTTTGTTTTCTCAGCCTGGTTGTTTGATCCACACCAGGGTTCGATTTACCCGAACCGGACAGATTAGGTGAGAAAGCACCCTAAGAATTGCTGCAGCATAACAACATGGACATTTACGAAATATATTGAGTACCCGCATATATGTTCTAAACTCTCAGGAATTGCCCTGAGTGGCCGTAATGATTTATTACCGGATGGTAAACTGTGGGATAGCTGGGGTATGGATCGATGTAGCGCGATCCCTATAAGTGAGTGGACTCTTTACTCTGAGCTTTCCGCCAGTCCTCAGTGGATATATATATATATATTAAAAAAAAGAGTAAAGGTGACAATGTGTGAACTCCAATGATCTCACCTGTCATGTTGCAGTATACCTGTGTGGGCCCCAGGGGACCACTCCCATCTGGATCAATGGAGTAGAAGCCAGAGGAGCTGCCAATCAGCTTGTAGGCCTCACAAGATGACTCGTAGATGGCTGGAAGGAGCAGAGCGGGGACAGAAATCAAGTTATTCCTCCAAGATTCAGCCCACGCTGCAACAGCTTTCTACTGGCTGAGTAATCCGGCAGCACACAATCTTTATTTATGAAATGGTTATAAATATTAAAATACTGTTTTCATGCAAAAAAAAAAAGTGAAGTGGTGGTTGTTGGTGACATATGTTTCTGTTCTATCTAAATCCACCTTTTAACAGTTTTTGCTCAGATGCACACTATGGTAAAACAAACTATTTGGATATATGACTGCTACAGGCCTGATGAAATCAAATGTATTCACTATAACATTTTAAGATTTATTCACAATCCAGTTAAAAGAGTGCTTCTCTAAATAAATGTAATGTTATTTTCTAATTGCTTAAAGCTTCTACAAGGAGTTTTAACTGGTTGTGAAACAGTCTCAATTTAATACTGATACCTCTATACCCACTGTATATCAGCAAACAACAGCATTAGTGAGAAGATTGGATTTTTCTATATAGTTATTCTTAATGTCTGCCACCAGGTCGGATTCCTCTTGAAGTCAATGAAACAAGGCAGTAGAGACACTGCCGCTTATGTCCACAGGGGGCGCAAGAATCGATAAACTGAAATGTTGAAAAACTGTTGATGCTTTAAAGGACATGAACCAATCACCAGACTGACAGCTTGCTGAGCCCCGTCCCCGTTAGTTACTGTTGTTACGGCCGTTCTTGCACAGCACATATGCAGTTTACATGTGTACGCTGGTAGATTTACCATCAAAGTTGTTGGTGATTTTTGCAACAGTGTGTCCTTTATTTCAGACAGAGGAAGACACAAGGAGGCTTCTGATTTTTAGCTGGCGACTGTTGATTTGTCCACTGAAATGACGACTGTAGTTAGCAGATTTTATCAGCTGTAGCTAGCTAGACAATTAAACTCCATGATTTGGTTGAGGATTCAGCGTCTGGCTCAAGCACGGTGCCAGGATTTCAATTTTGAATGAGCCTTTTTGATTACAGAAGTAATGTTTGTACAGTTTCCAACTGGTAGTCTTGCTAAAACAGAATTGACTGATATGCTGGACAGCATCTAGCATGTCTGATTGATTATAACGCTTCTTACATCTTTTTCTCAAACATTTTTTTTGATGAGATAGGTTATTATTTACCTGCAACAGTTGTATTCATTACAAGCCATGCATGCAGGTACACTGCTTAAATCAATGCGAAAATGAAACTAATCCTACCATGTTTATTTATTGCTGGATTATAGACCAGTACATCCATTCACTTAGAACACTGATGTCTGAATTCTGTTTAAGGAAATGCCATCTTGTTTGGATGATCTGGCCGGATTATTATCTGTTTAAGTTGATTGCAGGGAGGGAGAGCGAGAGATCGACTGCTGGGTGAGCTAGATTGACTTTTAGCAAGAGAGAGAGCTCCGTCGATTCAAGAGCTTTTCTCAACAGAACGGCAATGTAGCGACAATCGAGACAAACATTGGGGTACCAGTGGTGGCAATCGCAACCCCCCGAATCCAACAGTGCCTGCATTTTTTGATTTTCTATACTCTTTGCAGCTAGGAAAATTGGCTGCAACTGTTTCCATTCCACAAAGCTGGAGACTGACCTGTTGTGATTGATGATAGTAGCCTGATTATATAGTCTTTTACAGTTTTTAGAAAGAGAAAGGTTTTTTATATGTTTTAGAAATGTTTCTTTATTGTTTAATTTGGGTTGAGTGGCTGAAACAAGTTTCCGGTGTGCATAATGTAGAGTAAATGTCTCAGTTCATGTTTTCTAACAAACAATAAATATAGCTTCTTTTATTAAAATAGAACTTGTAAATACTTCTCGTACTCATGTTGCTTTGAAGCTAAATTCTGTGGCTGTTCTGTAAATAGTTTTTTTTTTTAAATATAGCAACTTCTGAAAAACTCAAAAATCAATTTTAAGCTTGCATGAACAACTTCCAGTTTAAGCCCTGCCCACTCCACATACAGATATGCATACAGATCATACAGAGAATATATGTTGTCCCAGTCATTTAGGCCCACCCACAATGCTCTGCTCTGGTTGACTTTTTAATGTTTCCAACTGCTAAAAATAATTTTAATTCAGCAGATGCTCTTATCTGTCACGTACCCGCCGACATGCAAAGAAAACTGTGTTTGCCTGCATGTAAACAAGAAATCAGCATTCTGGGGCAGGGCAATAGTTTCCAACAGCCGTCTCCATTACAAATATCAAGGCGATGTTGGGAGGATGTCAAAAAATGACACCCGTGAGGAACTACTGCTACATGTAGAGTCAGTCTGAAGCTCGAAAGTCTAAAGCTATTTAAGGATGTAGTACATAAAAAAATATCCTCAGAAATCTGAACGCAAAAATAGCAGCAGTGATCGTAGGGTCATGTCAGGTTGAAGGCAGGGCAAGTTTTTTTCTCAGCTGTACAAAGTGAAGAAAGCTATGAGCAAGACAGGTGTGTGTGTACCGAATCAAATGACACAGCTCAGTAGACCTAGAATATATGGGGAGGTGTGGAGGGTGTAATGGCAGGTTTGAGACTGGGTGAAGAAATGAAAGTAAGACGAACTGCTCACAGTTGTGACAGGTGGCTCCGGAGTATCCTGTTCCTGAACAGTCGCAGGAGAAGGAGCTCCACGTCTGAGAGCAGCGGCCTCCATGTTCACACAGGTTGGGAAGGCATCTGAAAAATAAAAAATAAAAATAATTATTGATTCATCTGGTCATTACTTTCCTTAATTGATCAATTCATTGTTTTGTACAGAAGCCATGCTTGCAGTTATTTTTTAAATGCCATTATCTCAAGTTTGTCTCGTAATTTTGAGAAAACAAAAGGCAGATTTCCTGAGATCATTTATTATGAGAAAACAACGTCTTCTCAAGATCCCAAGGTTATGATGGAAAACTCGAAAAAGAGTGTCTGGTTCATTCAATCACACCTGATTTCAGCCTTCAAGATCACTGTCATGGCTGTTGGAGAGGATTCATAACTGAACTGAAAAGAGTTGTTAGCAGAATCTCAGAGTTATTTAAAGCTATTCATTTCCTGGCAGTGTGAGGCAAGTACTGACAAAATGATCAGGAAAAGATTATCTCGGAAGGTAAAACAGCCCAAGCACATTTTTTGCATTACAGTGAACTAAATAGACAGCGTGTCTCTGTTTATTTACAGGATGTCAGTTGAGAAGATGGCCATTCTACGTGGCCCAGGATTAATTTGTTTACTCTACAAAAGATATGTGGTCAAATGCGTCCCAGACCACCTCGGCAAGTGGTTTTAGTGATCGGATCACCCAAGAAACATATCAATACGAGGTGTAAACAGGCTCTAGGTTGAACCAATGCTACATCAATAATACGCCAACTATGCATGCTGGCATAGCACGCCTGATCTCTTTATAAGTAATAAGAGGAAACAGACTTTATTATCTTGTGATCTTGAGATAATGGAATTTTAAAAAAAGAATAGCAAGTGCACAGCAGTTCTCCGTTTCTGTTGTTTTGTCAGAGGGAAAAAAAAATCTATATACAGTAGATGCTTGCTCTCTCTAACCAGCTGTCGGAAATCGAAACATGTTTTTATTTACAACGCTATAAAAAAGAAAAGAGAGGTAAGTTATTGCATTTAAATACTGTAACATGAGAATTTATTATCAAAATAGTTGCTAATAGTTGCTGATTATGTTGACTAATAGAATCATTGTTTCAGCTCTACTTTAGCCTTGATACACTTTTATCTTCGGCTTTTAGGAGCAGCACAAAATAATTTCTCGGCAGCAAAACAAAACATCATACAAACCTCTCAGGCATTAGGTACCAATAGAGATACTGCTTTTGTTAGTGTTCTGCAAACCTGATCTTTTATTTATCAGGTAAGCGAGACCCCTGTTCACTGTTCTCTTTATTCTTTAGTATGCAATTATGAACACCCGCTTTGGAACTCACCCAACAGTCTAATTTGCTGTTTATTCATGTTTCATTAAAAATCCCAAACAACTGTGAAATGATGGTGCCTCATACTGTGCCCTTGTCTGAATTTTAAAAAAGCTGACACACCGAGGTGTTTCTCTAAAAATAAAAGCATTACTGTCACCTTCAGACTAGAATGCCTGTTAATGGGATTTTGACACAATGAGCGCTTCGCAGAAATTTCAGACCGCACTCTTCTGATTAATAGTCCCTTCCTCAAGCCTCCTTCAGTTTCACATAATTGCCAGCCTTTCGAGCATGCATCTATAATTTCATACACTTTCATCTCCCACCTATTAACTGCAGCGGAGCGGGCCAGCCGCAACATGGATAAGGTTGCAGCCACTGGTTTAATTACCATCAAGCTATTTTCTGTTGTGTTCATGGGTGCCCTTACGGGTCATGGAATTACAGTAGCAAGCACACCTAAGCGCACACTGACCATAAATTGAGTCACAAGGTTTAATTATACACAGAGAAAAAGAGATTAACTCTGATAAAAGTTAATTTTCTCATACTCAGGGGTCATTACTATTACCGTGGTCATTAGATAGGCCACAGTGAGTGAAATGAAAGTTAACATCAGTGCAATAAACATTTGCAATGCCTCACATGTCATGTCCTCACAACAGATTGAAGGATGTTGCAAAGACTACCCACCAAAAAAGAAAAGAGTTTCTTTGTTGCTCTACATACATATACTTCATAATGTATGTGGATGGGTGTTCATTTATTTGTTTATATATGTTCCCACGTGCCCCACAACCAGCAGACACTGGCCTATCTTCATACTCCTCCATCCAACAGTCCACAACCCTGATTTCTCCCCTCCTCCCTCACCTTTCATCCCCCATCCTTCGACCCCCATCCCTTCATCCCTGCAGCCCTTATTCCTCCCACTGGACCCATAATCCATTCTTCCAACATCACCTTGGCTCTCCACCATCCATAACATGCAATAAACTATTCTAAATCAATATCTTTATTTCTGTGCTCTTTGTTATTGAAATGATAATATGTCAGTGTTGTGTTTACAGCTTGTAGTGCTAAACAGGGCCGTAGCCAAGATTTTAGAAATGGCAAGGTCATGAGTCTGAGCACTGCTAGGGGGGTTTGGGGGCATGGGGACATAATATTTATCTAAATTAATAATATACCAATATGTAATATTCTCTTCAACGTAGCAACAAAATATAAATGCAATTCTTATTTGCAATAAAATAAAAGGAAGAGGTATTTCTCAGTTATCAATAAATTATAGTTATAAATTAGGTATCACTGAAACACTTTGATAATAATCACTAGACAATTATCTATCTGTGCCTCATTTTCTGTGTGGAAAGATTCTGATAAATCAACACGCAGCATCAGAGAACAAAAGGAATCAGGAATACTTAGGCAGCACAGTGACTCAGAAGAGGCTGACTTCTTCTTCATCATGAACCCCATCACTTTTGGAGTAGCTTATATCACAGTGTGACTGCAGTAAGGTAGGCTGATTGTTAATTCAAAGCTGCTGCTGAAACATGTTTTAATAGCATGTAATGTTAGATTATTGTTTGTGAGCTCAGATGTTGAACAAACACAGTGTTGACTAACCTTTAGCAAGTGTCGTGTGTATGTAGGTTACAGCCCCCTCGCCAACGGAGTGAAAATAATGAGAGGAATGTATGTGTGCAGCTTGTTACATGTATGTCACATAATCCGCACACAGCTGTTGAGCTGCCTCGCAAACACATAAAGGACAGAGACAGATGTTTTAAAGTCCTGATTATACACTTATATAGCGCAGATTTGTTATTTTAAAGGTCCGGACCTCGTAGCTGGCTGAGGTCCGGACCAGCAAGACTGTGCTCAAAAATTCCCAAAATAAATTAGTACTGGTTTGAACCCCTCTGCTGTAGGTACGTGTAAACAGACAACTGCGTAACTGTTAGCTAACATGTACGCCACAACAATTGTTTTTTTTTAAGCTTTTATTGATAGTGACAGCTGAAGAGAGACAGAGAAAGGGGATGACACGCAGCAAAGGGCCGCAGGTCGGATACGAATCCTGGGCCACTGGAGCAAGGACTTAGCCTTGGCACATGGGGCACCAGCTTTAGCAGGCGACCTAACCGGGTGCCTCCTGCTACAACAATTGTATAATAATTGTATAGAGATAATGTTTCCAAGCTGTGCCTGTCCACTTGTTGAAATCATCTGCCCCCTAGAGCCCCAAAAGCGATGAACATAGCTTTAAGGATGTTTCTTTATATGATTAGACTGTTTAGAAATGTGTTTTTAACCATCAGAAAGAGTTCCCCAGGAGCTATTTATTCTATAAAAACTCTATGTCACCCCAATTGCTACACCACTTTTGCACTCATCCATCAGTGTAAGTTTTTGGTGGGAAAAAAAAGACAAAACAGCACTTATACATGCAAAAGATGTTTGCATCTCAGAATGGGGGAAAGAAAACATCTCATTCCAACGTTCTGTCATTTCCTACAGTGCATCCCTTCGCCCACTGACACCACAGACTGGCAGCACTGTTGTGTTTGCACATCGTCTGACAGCGGACAATCTGGACTAGAAAGTAGGTGATTTGAAATCTGACAAAGGAGAGATCCTCCTCAGGGCAAATACAAGGTAAAAAACTGCCGTTTGCATGTTTGTCTCGTCCCTATAAATGTTCCAAGCCACATGCAGACATTCAGTGAGCTCACAGGTCCGCCAGTCCCGTTCACAGGGCCCACAGCTGTGCAGGGTAATGAGGGATAGGGATAGGGAGGGGTGCCACACAGGCCAGTAGGGAGCAGCTTGTTAGCATAGTCCTCTGCCAGAAAAGGTGTTGCTGAGTTTCTGTTGCAATTTAATTGGACGATCCTGTCAGCGTGTTTGTCTCTATAGGACAAGATGTCAGTGACTTTCAGGCAGCTCTGCAGACAACACACTGCCATCTACAAATTAACAATGTGGGCATGAATAAGTCTCTGCTGCCAGCTCGGATAATGTTTTACAGATTTTTATATTTGACACATTTTGACTGTTGAACGTCAAAGTTTGCTGTAAGATCTGTGCAAGAACTGTCCTCTAATTAAATAAAAGTGGAAATTCAAACTACTTTACCTGTCTCTTATATTGCAGGTGTCAAACTGAAGCTCATTATAATTGCCCAGCAATCCTTGCTGTGCTTGATTGAGATCCTTCGGCTGCCTGTTGATGAATATGAGCCGCATGCACCCCTGGAAGGCCGGAGTCAGGTGCTGACAGTCTGTGGTGGGACAGCCTGGAATGACACATGATGCAACCTTTAGTTTTACTGTACAAGCAGAGTGTAAGAAGTATCTTAAGTTATCTTAACATTGCTGCGAGAATCCACCAACCTCCAAAGTAAAAGTTGCCTCTCGATTCCAGTTGTTCCCACAGTTCAATAGCGGAGGACGGCTCACCATCCACAGTCAAAGTGATTTGTAAATTCTTAGTGTCAAGACTCACAGAGTGCCACAGACCGTTGTTGACTCTGTGACCTGAAGAAAAACATTTCACATTAAATCTCAGTGAAATGGCAAACAGTTTAGTGGTCTGCAGCACAAAAAGAGATTCGCTGTGTCCATTATCCTGTAGACCTGGAGGCTGTGAGGAATTTCCACCACTGCATTCTGCTTTATCTGAGTGTGATACAGTCAGTTTAACTTGGCCCGATTAATCAAAGATATACTTTTCATTTCTAATAGCTGCCAGTACTGCTGTCAGAATACCCAAACTCCCTCTCAGCACAGTTGTTGTCACCCGACACAGTCACAGAGACTCCTCCATGGCTCTGAGCATCAAAACAAAGATTTCTCCCACCTCCGCTCCGTCACTTGTCAACAACATTCTTACTGTGCATTTTACCATTCAGATGAGGTTAATGTGCAAATGAGGAGGAATGACTCTAACATCAGCTTCTTCGGGTTTGTTCATCACTGTGACAAACTGAACTCAACTACATTACTACATTTCAAACTTTTACTGTACATCTCAGAGGGGATTATTATACTGTTACTGTGACTTCACTGCTTTTTTTGTTATTCAATAATATTTCTGACCATCTGCAAAATTACACTGTTGCCAACATATTTATCCCTCAGAATAATCGGATAATGTAATAACAGTGACAGGAGGAATTTTGCTTGCACATTGAAAACTTTTGATACTTTTAAGGTGAAGGTCAAAAATCTGTATCATCTTCATTGTGCAGAATGATGTATCAGGGTTCCCACTCTTTTTAAGAAATCATTTTCCAGGGCTTTTTTCAGGAGTTTTCTTTACACATCATTTACTGGTAGGCGTAGTGTTGACTCCAGTTTTAAGTGTCTCAGGATTGCTGCAAGTCTGTTCCACTCTGCGTCCGCTGTGAACAGCTAGATTGACTGATGTGGCTGAAATGAAAAGGGAGCATTTGAAGCATTTTTCTGTTCCGCCACCTTCAAGTTTCAAACAATCAAAAATTTCCACTATTTTAATCTATTTCCATGGTGTTTCTGTGACTGGAAAACTAGTCTCTAAACTTCCAGATTCAGGTTTTCCAGGATGCATGGGAACCCTGTGTATGTGCAGAGTTTGACATGAAATTTACATTGAAGTAGGAGACATCTTGTGTCCAGCAGGAAAAACCATATCAGACACACATTGTTGTTCCAAACAGACTATTTGTATGTGACTTTATACATGTCTGGAGGAGATCTTTAAATACATTTTAAAGATTAGATTTAATGAGATGATACAGAAGTGTTTTTATATTACAGTATTGCTTCGTTTACAGTAATTTTACAACTTAAAGGATCAGAATACTTTCTCTGCCACTGACTGCAGCCAACAACTGGACTGTTTTGAATGATGTATTAGAATAAGTGTCCATTACGTGTAGGATATAGTAATTGTACAGTAAATTTTTTTCTGTTGCCATGGATGTTCACTTTTTACACAAATTTCCAACTAAATCACCTTTAACCATGATCTCTTTTCAAATATAACCACTCTGATGCTCATTAGGCAAATTTCCTGTCCACTTTCTGGAACAGGGTTTAAAACTAGCCCAGATATTCTCATTATAAATTGTGCTCTTTCATCCAACTTGTTTCCCCATAGAGTGCCATAATTCCCCTTCTGTTAAAAGAGCAGAAACCTGATCTTTGTATTTTAAAACGATTGACCGTTTGCTTAACCCAATATCTGATACCTGAAATCAGTTTAAACCCATTCAGTCTTTTAAAAAATCTATTAAAACACAAAAAAGATGAGTAATAAGCCTTCTCGGCTTTATCTACAAACCATTTCTTTTAAAATGACAGCTCATCTCACAGTCCATTCTGAATGTGTTGGACGCAGACTAAATTAGCATTCAGATTGAGCTGTGCTGTGGTTTGGGAGCTCAGAGGGGACAAGGCGGTCACGCAGGGTGCACACTGGAAGTTATTTTAGTTCGTCTAAAATCAGATCTGTCCAGGCTCCTGGGAAAACTTGACAATTTCACTCACAATTCACTGATGCCTTACAGCACAACCTTTTATCCCAGAAGACTGTGAATGCCATGGGTGTTCTTTTCTCCACCCCATTGACTGTTTCATGGAAAGAGCAGTGCAGCCGCGAGGGATTGCTGGCGAGCATCAGTGGGAGTTTCCCTTCCCCCTCTTTCAGCTCATGTATACAGCATCTCATCATCTCCTTGCTGTCCTGCTGCTGACCAAGCTTGAAGTGTCAAAGTACTATCTAGGACACATATATAATGTTTTTGTATCACATCAGTGACCTGCACGACAGTAGCTCGAAAGAAAAACAACATTTCCCTATTCTTCTGCAAGAGACTATATCTCTGAGCCCCATGTGCTGCCTCCGGGAAATACACAGTTTTATGTGTCAGCGTCATGTCATTACGGCTCCGAGCCACAGTGACAGTCCTCAACAACCCCGACTAGCAGCAGATGCAGAGTGGGGTGAATGAAACAAAAGCTCATTGGGTGCTGCTCCCCCATCATACACCTGTGTGTCTCCTGGTTTGACAAAGATGTTTTGCTTGTGTGAAAATCAAGCCAATACTGTTGGCGCAGATAATTTCATGAGCTGAACAGAGGAAGATACGGATCAATATTCTTTCCACATTAACGCTGTTGTGCACTTAGCTCAAGTGCAGCACTTTATCAAACAGAGCCAGTCGCCATTTCTACTGAAGCTATTCTATTGTCTCCACCCGTCAAACGAAAAAACAATCAAACAATGAGGTAATGTTTCTAATAAAACTGAAAGGTGAGAACGGAAGGTTGAATATAGAAATTAAATGATTTGCAACAACTCTGACAAGCCTTGCAGGTCATATTAATGAGTTTAATGACACCCCTGCAGCTCTATATTTGACATTGCTGTTGCTGCTGTACCACGGGATGAGAGTGGTGAGAAAGGTGAGCATACTTTATAATCGAACTTGACTTAATATTAATTACATGTGAGATTCACAACTTCCCTCTGTTCTGGGCGTTAACCGAGCTTGGAATGTACTACAGGTGCAGCAATTTCATGTTACTACTGATGATGAAGATTTTGCAGCTGACAAAGAGACTCTAAATGGCAGCAAAAGGGTAACTCTTTTAAAGATCCCCTCCAAATAGTCCGCTTGGAACAATAATATGAGTTTGATGTGTTTTTTCTGGAAAAAAAATATAATTTGCCCATTAAAATCCTTAAAAAGTTATCTCCTCCTTCTATCTCATTAAACCTTTCAGAATCTCTGAATATGCAAATGTTGTTCATGTCTAAAGTTTTCCTGCTGGACACAAGATGTCTCCTACTTCACTGTAAAGTCCATTCTCAGTGGATGTGTACTGGTGGCTTCAAGTTTCTACATCACACTGTACAAGTTGCATACTGTTTTTTTACGCCACTAAATCCTACACACTGGACCTTTAATTAGTAGACAAAGTTGATTTTCTTTTAAAAAACGCAAAAAATCACTTGTATAACTAACATTGATTTGACATGTTAAATATCAGATTTACAGTGGATCAATGCACATATGATTGAAAATGAAGCTAATTTAAATCCAATGGCACAAAGCGCATTAGATAGAACTCCTGTTATAAAAAATGTTACCGAGCACAGAGAAACTTTCCACTTTCAGCGGATAAAACATCCTTCTACTGTCAAACTCTGCACATACATCATTCTGCACAGTGAAGATCAAACGTCACACTGCAGGAACTAGAAGAAAAACTGATGTTTGAGCGGAGGACGACTTTAACTTAAAATAACCCTAGCCCTGCACAGCACACTTGTGTTTACTCAGCCAGTCGCACTTCATGCACCGCAGGAACAATAAAGATTTCACTGGATTGAGTCCAGTCTTCTCTGCTTGGATCTTTTTGGTTATGATTCCAGCACACATCCATCATAGAGAATATTTCCAGCTGATCCCAGTACCAGGCACTCTTTTCACACAGGTCTACTTTTACTTTGGGGTCCTAATGAAATGAAGGGATTTGCCCCACATGTCTGTCTGATGCAACACATTCACACCGGATGAGTCTGCATTTTACAGACTCGATCCCAGAGATTATTGCTCAGTACGTTTAAAATGTTAGCAGCCTCCAAGTGTGCTGAGTGGCTGGATGAGCACCCTGAATGTTTAACCAAGATGCTATCAGAGCTCTTGCTCGATAATAATTTCAGCTGTGACCTCCAGAAATCCAACCAATACATAGATAAATACTTCAAATTACTGAGAAGTCAATTCATATCAAACTAATATCGGACTACGTCTCTACTCTGTTAAATTCATTTGCAGTGAAACTTTTATTTACTCTTGTTTTTTGTTATTGCAAAACAACAAGAAGTCTCTAGGTCACACTCCTCATGTGCTGCAGCTCTAAGGCTGATAATCCCTCGTGCAGATAGGTAATTTAATGCAGCTTGAGGTAAATTATATAAATGGGAATATTGTCCCTTAGCTGTGTTTGTCTTCTCCATCTATATTTCCCTGCAGCCCGCCATCTGCTCAAAGTCTGGCTTCCCCCAAACAATCATGGTTATCTGCATTATCTTTGCTAAGCAATACACCACCCATACAGAGAACTGAATGATATTTTTATCAGAGTAATTCCAAGATTTTTTTTTTCGGAGTTCATTGAGGACAAAGGTGACAAAAATAACTTAGATAAAAAGACTTTCCCAAACCAACATATTCTCCATGCCATGCATTAGGGCAGCACCGTATTTCTTTATACCAGAGTGGAGCAGACCAACGAGCAGCCAGATGGAGACGGAGCAGTCCATATTGCAGACAGGGTATGTGGGGTCAGCTTTTTTTAATTAACGCAGAAAATAAAGTCAGTGGTTCACTTAAAGGGGGCTGTGGAGTTTCCTGGGAAACAAAAGTTATGTTTGCTTTCAGTGTTCACTCCTCACTGTAACACACAAGCGTGTACACAAATGTGTTGAATGCGTTTCCTTCCTCATAAAACATCTGCAAAGTTGAATTTGAAGTACTTTAAATCCAGCATTGTTTACATCACATGTCTACTAGCTTGCACTCTTCTTCTTCCCTACCTTTGTTGTCAGAATTGGTGCATATTTTGGTGTGTTACCGCCACCCCGTTGCTGATTTGCTAATTAATTTTGGCACAATGGGAGGGTCAGGGTTAGGCTACCCGCACGGGTTTGAGGCTGTATAATCAGCAGTACAGGTGCAACTGAATGATCATAGAATTATTATAATACTAATATAATACTATGTTCAGCAGTGTGTCTCTATGATTGTCATGCTCTTCTACAAATTGCTACTTGTCACTTTCATTATGAAGGTGACTCTACTCTATAGAGTATATAGGCTATAATATAATATATGATGGAGTATTTATAGATTAGAGAAAATTATAGCTCCAATACAAAACCTACAGAAGGGCGGGATTCCGTCTGCTACTTCACCATTGCCAGCACCATGGATTTATCAATACACAGCACTGATACGATCAGCCATAAGATTGTGACCACCTGGGCATCCTGCAGTTTTGGAGATGCTCTGACCCAGTCGTCTAGCCATCACAGTTTGGCCCTTGTCAAAGTCGCTCAGATCCTCACGCTGCCCATTTTTCCTTTTCAACTTGAGGACAAAATGTTCACTTGCTGCCTAATATATCCCACCCACTGACAGGAGCCATGATAACCAGATAATCAGTGTTATTCACTTCACCTGTCAGTGCTCATAATGTTATGGCTGATCGGTGTATTTCAGAGCCATGGTCGGCACAAACCTCAGTCAGATAAAGGATCAATGGGTCATGCAGACTGGAGTAATATATTCAACTAAACAACCCCCATGCCCCTGTACGCTCTCTCTGCTTGTACTCTCTCTACTACTAGGGGATAGAGAGGGGGAATAGCAAGTTAACAAGTGGGGTGGCATCCCTCTTCAAATTGCCTACTGCCGCCACCTATAGATCACAGTGTGACACTATTAGCAGGAGTGTGTATTGCGTCACATGCATGCACATGAGGACGTGTGTCCTCCAGTAGTGCCAGAATGAGTTTCGAAGTGGGGGGCAGCCAGCTTGGGATGATGTGTTACACTAGTAAACTTTTTCATGTCAGCCTTTCAATCTCAGCCTAGCCTACAGTTTTTGTACAAGTAAAGTAGGTGAGAAACCAGTGGCATTAATATAGGTAGGAAAGCCATCCATCCTCTGGATAACCTTGGTTTCTAGTTTGTGGTTGTACAGTTTTAAGAAGCTGTGATTATTTTTGGAGGTCACAATACGTCACTTTATACAAAAAAAAAGTTTCACTACAATTAAATGGCTACTATGGGGACGAACATCATCACACATGAATACAACTGGGCTCAATGAATCCACAAGAGCCTAACTTTGGAGCATTATTTAGCCAAAAAAGTCTTACCCCCTATTCTGGCGCCAGTGGTTTCCTCATGGGCATGGACAAGACAAAGAAATGGGGACCTACTCATAGAAAAACAGCTCCATAGCGCCACTAGAGGTCAAAAACTAACCCTTTAGCTAAAAATGTGCTAGTTTTACCCAACATAAAAGTACTTTCTTTAATAATTAAAGTGTAAATTTTGTACATACTACCTTACCTTACCTCAACTTTGTCTACTAATTACCTTCCTTATATGTAAATAATTGTTTGTATGGTTTAAAAGTGGACTGATCTGCTGAGATTCTCAAACCATTTACAGTATGATATGCACAAAATGTGTGATTATTTATTCACAATAGAAAAAACACCATTGGAATTCAAATACACTATGGAGGGGAGGTCAATGTTACAATTTGGTGTGTGAGAGTGAATCAGAAATAGTCCTCACAAACAGTTACAGTTATCTGTTTGATTGTGTTTTTTGTATGTGGACTCACCAGCAGAGACCTCTGATTTCTGTCGTCCCGAGCTGTGGAGGGTCAGGTACAGCCGGCTGTTGCTGATCTGCAGCACCAGTCTCTGGGGCTCCGGGCTCAGCTGCACAAAGAGTAGCAGCCCGTCTGGGTTCCACGTCCTGAACTGGAAGCGAACAGAGAAACCCCCTGTGGCAGATGCTGCTGACGGAAGCGACAGGAAGCTGCTGCTGGAACTCAGGAAGGTGCAGGCCACCAGCTGGGGCTGCGAACACGAGAAGGTCACATTGCCCTGGAGGACGAGAGACACAAGGACACAGATTTACATGCGTCTTCAGATACATGTTAGGGCAAGCTGGTCTCATGGAAAATCCATTGTGATATGTCTGGAAATAAATGGGGAACAGATGGTTAAAGAACCATAAGCAAAACTGTAACTTTAACCATTTATGCAGAATTATTTATCATTGTCAGTTAATCATCAGCAGTAACTCCACTGAGATGAAAATATTAATTCATAATCAATTGAAAATGAAAATGTAATAAGATTCAATAAAAACTAGAGTTAATGAATAGTTAACATTCTAGGAAATATGCTTATTTGTTTTTTGTGTAGTTATATGAAAAGATCGATAACACTCTTATCTGTCTTATTAAGTATTATCCAGGAGATGAGATGCTTAGCTTAGCATAAAGACTGGGAACAAGGGAAATGGCTAGACTGGCCAAGCCCCAAGGTAATAAAATCATCCTTCCAGCAATTTTAAAACTCACTAATTAACATGTTATATCTCAAACAACATATAATGTGCAGAAGCTTTAGAAGTGCTGGTAGGCTGATTTTATCTTTGCACAGGGCCTGGCTAGCTGTTTCCTCCTGCTTCCAGCCTGTATGCTAAGTGGCTGTCGACTGTAGCTTCATATTTACCGTCCAAATATGGGCGCGTGTTTCAAAATGTTTAAATATTCCTAGAAGAATGTCATGTGGAGTAAATTAATTAACAAAGCATCTCTATATTTTTTTCCATTTCGTCGTCATTTAGCTGTTCCGTGTAAATAAGTCCATGACTCACACCGGTATTTAGTATGTTGTATGTAAAATAATTCATGCAACATGTTAAATATCAGATTTGTACTGGATGAATATTAACCTGTAGTTGTTCTGAATCCAATGGTACCAAGCATTTGATATAACTCCTTGTAATTTTTGAGATACAGCCATTTCTGTATCATACTGTATTTAGTCATTAGTCTAATTCTATCCCATATATACATTATAAAATGTCTCTAAGGTCTGCACAATGGCAATACTAGACGGATTATCATTTTACTTAATCAATCTATATTGTAAAAATCCAGACTATGTGTGGATTAAAAACTATAAAGATATGTAATTCCTAACCTATTTTCCTGAAAAAGAAAAAGCTGCTAAGAAAAACCTAGTAAAAAAAGTACCTCGTACTTTGACCGACTTGAAAAATTTCAATGGATTTCTGCTTAGTTCAGCTAGTACTTTAAGTGCTTTAAAGGAAACTATAATTCCACTGTTGACATTAATGGGCTGAAGAGCGATTTTCCTTACGATAGCGATGAAGTCCATGCAGTTCAGAGGATGTCTAAACCCTTAAGCAATCAGAACTGTGGAAAAGGCTAGATCCAAGATGAATCCATGAAATATATTTGCTCCAAACCAATACGGTAGAACAGCCAAGATAAAAAAAAACACCATTTAAGTTTATATTTCAGTTTAATTCTGTACAGTGCAGAGGTTGTGTAAGGTACATTCAAACACACACATGGTCGTGTCTGCTAAGGTCAGAGTCCCATCATTCCCTGTGCCTACAGGGCAGCACAGAGCAATCACAGCTCTTTGACTCTCAATGTGATTCCCTCCCATCAACGTCAGGGAGATAGTCCCATTGAAATTCCATTACAGCTCCCATCATGACAGTCTCTCTCTACCGCTCCACCTCTGTTGTCAGTAAAGGCCTTTTAACGCAGCAATCAGACGCTGAGGGTAGGGGATGTCTCAGATGAGATGTGGCTTGTGGCTCTTTGGCCGACCAATCTGATTTGCGTGGGAGGTTGACTCTCCAGATAAATCCATTCACACACTTACACTTAATGATATAGTAGTTAGGATCACAATGATTGTTTTCACGTTATTCTCTCCTTCCAATTTCCGACCTGAATGTCTTAAATCCTACTAATCAAATATCGTCATGAATCAGTTGAGAGAAAAATGGGAAACCTCACAGCAAGTATTTTATCCACACTAGTGGCAATGTCGCCATGTCAGTCAGACAGAAATATCTCAATAACAATTGGATGGACTGCCATTAATCGAGACATTTCGTAGACACAGAAAAAATGTATTAACTTTGGTGATTGTCTGACTTTTCATCAAACATCATTGTCAATCAAATTATTATTTATTTATTTGTTAAATACTTTGGTTTATGACCAAATGCCTGCAAAATAAATTACATTCCCAGCAGCCTCAGCTGTAACAAAGATACTGAACATGCTAAAAACTTTACCTGCTAAACATAATCATGTTAGCATTATCGTTGTGACCATGTTAGTATGCTGATGCCCTTGTCAGTGTGGTACGCTAGAATAGCGTTGTTCATTGAATGTGCTCATGTTTTTGGTGAACAGTGAGCTGAATGTATTGACTTGCAAAGTTCCGTTAAACTCAATTAATTAATTAAAACAGAAAAAAGCCAGGCGGAACTTAAGTTTCACATTCTTTTTCCCACAGAGATTTAGCTGATATATTAATTCCCAAAAACACTGTCGATTTTTAGTTGTTAAGTTGCAAAGATTTGTGGCAGTGGTTATCTTCATCCATTTGACTCTTCCACTCCAACTTAAAAACTTCACAAAAAGTAGTGTTGGATGTTACAGGGACTGCAATTAATACAAATGCATCCCACTGTTCTGATTGCATAAATAAAGTAAGCTTTTTGTTTTACTCAGATTTTACATGTATGGCAGTTATATCCTATAACATAAATTGCCATATATCGTCTTGCTAACCGTATTGCAATATATCGCAGTATATTGATCCAGCCCCTGTGATCGACTCACGCTGGCATGGTTCACTTGTTGTGTGTCAATCTTTTTGCGATTGAGTAGTGAAGGCAAGTATACTGCATGTTTCTACAACCTTTGTCTTATTTTACATAGTTTTGCCCAGTGTTCGTACATTTAAGTTTAGTTTACCATAACATGTTGGAATTGAAAATATGTTCATACAGTGGGACAAAGTGGAACCAGGAAGAGGTTCTTCAATCATTTAAAGGGCCTTTACTGACTACCCACAGCTACCAAGCTGCATTTGGATATTTTCCTGCGTACTGTATGCGTGGCTCTTTTATTCATACTGTATATTGTTGGCTTATTTATTTAAATCTATACCATAATATATATACCGTAGACCAAAGGGAGTTGACCTTTTGAGTGAATGGATCAAAAACAGTAATACAGAAGACAGATTTGAATGTACTGTACATTACACCCACATATAATTATAACAGACAGCTGTCATAGGCTAATCTTTGGTTTTCACCCTTAGCAGAGTGTTGTAGCTGTTAACACTTTACTGCTAAAACACAGTGTAGAATTACATTAATAGTACAATTCATTAGATATATAGATAGATATATAGATAGAAAGATAGAAAGATAGATAATAAGATACATTTCTACTACCACTTTCTCTCTTTAAATATCATTAAAGCCATTTCCATTCCTAGTAGTAATTCTCAGCTGTGTAAGATGGCTTTATAATGGCAAAGTGCTTTCTCACATCTCTGAACTTTTTAAAAAGGACTGATTCTGCTCTTGAAAGAGAAGCACAAGGACCACAGAGCTCCAGGAAGCCATTTGGACAGACTCAACCTAGATCTACAGGGAAGCTGAAGATTTTTCCTGAACTGGTACAAATAGTATTCATCTTTGTTAGCAATACAGCTGACCAATAGGTCAGTATTAAGAAATTAGTCATTCAGAAATGCAAAACATATGCTTAAGGTAATTTAGAAAGTGTCACTATTAGCTTTTACCAGAAAGTTTATTTTTCAACTGGTAAATATCTAGTTCAGTACATTTCTTTGTTTGTAATAATCAAATTTAATATTATCTTTTAATATTCTGTTAAATTGTATTATGATATCTGTATTTGCTTTGCAAATAGAGTATCAGTCTGGCTCTTTCCATCTAACTCAAGCTCCTTCAAAAGGAAAAGCTGGTACATTTTACAGTACATGTGCATTGAACGCAGGTGAAAGAGCAGCTAATATTATGCAAATGCCTACCACGCTGTGTATCTGTGGCTTTCGTCTCTTTGCCAGGTCGATGATGTTGATTCCGTTGTAGTAGAGGTTCTCCATGCAGCCGTGGAAGTTTTTCCTCAAAAAGGTGCCAGGTTTACCAGGCAGCGGGATGCCTCCAAAACTCAGCTTTAATGAAAGGACAACAGAAGAGGTAGAGGTAGAGTGATCCAATATAATAAATAGTATATAATAAAGTATATATTCATGCATGATATTTACATAAAAAATATATAAAATAAAATGCTGTACCGTACTGTACCATTTTACAGTACCATCCCCATTGTAAACACATAAGAACCTAAAAATAGATGCACACACATATTCTCACCAGTTATGCATGAACAGCTGAACAAGTGATTCAGTAAGTGAGAAGACAACACCCACTCACTGGATCCAAATGTACACTGTGGAACAGTATTCTGCTCTGAGGCTGTTTCGTGGTCTGGTCCTCTGGTTCCAACAAAGGGAAATCTCAATACTACAGCATTTTGGCAAAGACCTCTTCTTTATTGCAGAAAAAGTGCTTTCCGAATTTGGTGTGGAAGGACTTGGCTGGGCTGTACAGAGCTCTAACCTCAACCCCATCCAACACCTTTAGAATGAACTGGAACTCTGACTATGAGCCAGACCTTATCGCTCAACATCAGTGCTGGACCTCACTAATGCTCTTGCGACTGAATGGCAACAAATCCCTGCAGCTGGGTTCCAAAATCTTTTTGAAAGCCTTCCCAGAGGAGTGGAGGCTGTTATAGTGGCAGATTATTGCCCATGGTTACATCATTATCAGTAACATGTTGGTGTAATGTTTGGGTGTCCACATACATTTGATCAATCTAGGAGAAAGTATGTTTGTTGTATTTCAACATTGGCTGCAATTGTGCAAATTAAGACTGGCCTTAAGCTAAGCCCCAACCCCTTAGGTAGCATTGCTGTGCCTGTCAACCGCTCCATTCTTGCATGACATGCTTTTGGAAACATTTAAAAAGATGACAACTTATTTATCTGATCATATATTTGTATTATTATTACAGTCATGATAAGTGTTGATATATTTTTTTTCTTTTTTTACTGTTTTGGCCTATTCATCTACCTATATACATTTGTGTGTGTATAAGCATCTGTGTGTGTATTACATTATCTGTGTGGATGATTGTGGGTGTGTAGGTATTGTATATGTGTATATGTTAGGGTATTCGCCCTTTGGTTATAACTTATCCGTTCCATGGTGTGTCTAGCCTGGTGGCCAGGGGGTGGTTTGGTCATATTACGTGACCCCCAGATACATGTGTGTGCATATATGTATGCACCATATGTTTTATCTGTTGTATATATTATTTGTTTAAATTAAAGGCCTTCCAAGGAACTTTCATTTTGTGTTGATTCTGGCGGCCCCTGTGGACAAAAGTGGTAGTGTTTCCACCGCCTCGTTTCATTGATTTCAAGGGGAATCCTACCCAGTAGCAGGCATTATAAATAACTGCATAGAAATCACCAATATTCTTGCGGATGGTCTTGTTTGTTTATGTAGGTCATACAGAGGAAATCGTATTAAATATTTTTTTTTAACGGCAGCCATTTTGACATGAAATAGTAGGGTAAACACAGGTGTTATGAATGATACTAATTAAAGGTCCGTTCCATTTAGTGTAGCAGATCCTTTCCAATGAGACAACATGCACGATAGCAGCACTCTGACTCTGTTTGACCTGAATGAACAGGAACATTAAATACATTGTAATGCGAAAAGAAAATTGTTGAAACAGATCACATTAAACATTTTAAGTAAGACAAACTCAATTTTGTAAGTTAAAAAACCTTTTTGATTAAGTACTTTTTACTTGGTATTTTGTAACGTGTAAGCCATGTGTTCAAAAATGTTTTTTTTGTTAAATTAACTTAACTGGTTTTACAGTGTAGTATCATTGGTAACACCTTTGTTTACCCTACTATTTGATGTCAACATGGCTGTGAAAAGGGTCTAGCGAGACTATTTCCTAACCAGTGAAAACTCCTTAGGTTTAAATAAAATACAATAAAACAAACACAAACAAAGAACGCCTTGCTTTACACACGGAGAATCACTCTTGGAGCCCCATGTACGCCGCTTCTGTGGGGAAATCTAAATCTGGAAAAGCCTCATGTGCCTAGTTCTGGTTGCTAAATTGTGATTTGACCATTTCTGTCTGGGGGAGGGGTTTAGTGCAAAATCACTTAATGGGTCTCTAAATTACTGTAAGGGGGAATATCACATGATCTCTTTGGTTATAATATGGTTTGGAACTGGAATAAAAAATAATTATGCAAACATTGTTAGAGGTTGTTGGTTATTCCTTTGAGACGCTGAAAATAACTTGTCTCTGCTGCTTTTCTGGCTTCTTCTTTCTACCATTAATTACTGAGAATTTCAAAACATGTCACTTCCCCAGGGCTTATATACACTACACTATGTTTACCATAGTGCTCCAAGGCTTATTACTGTGTTAGTAATGACAGGGTTGCCTGGCCCTCACTGGATAAATTCATTAAGTGGCACGGTCACATTTACAAAGCTGCTCTTGCTATCTCACCACCAATTTATGTAATTCAATCATCCAATGGACTCACCTCGTAGTCCACCTCCAGCGAGTGTCCTTCTCCTTTGGTTTGGAAATGCTGTGTGTGGGAGTCCACTGTGAGGTTAACTTGCTTATTGAAGCGCTCAATGTGAACAGAGTGCCAGTGTTGGTCGTCCAGCAGACTGCCCACACTGACTGCAACACGGCCGCTGCTGAACCTCAGCCTGCTGTCGTCTGGTGCCACACAAAGGAAACAGCAAGAACATGGTGAGCTGCTTTATATCTTCCAGAGTGAATGTGTGAGGGCAGGAGGGCAGAGCTCAAAAACACACACACATTATGTCCTGTCCTTTTCATTCAGATGATGTGTTGTAGAATGGTATGAAAGTAGTCTGTACTAACACATTAGATCTGTTAGTCTTTTGTATCATGGGTCTCACACTCAAACTAGCTTGGGGGCCACTGCTGGTATTGTCATATCATTGGAGCCAACAAAACAGCAAATGAAAGGCAGAAACCTGCTCTCTTTTTATCTACTGTTTACACACATTTACAGGCACCTTTGACATTTGTCATCACTTTGCGGCAACAAAAATTGATCTTTTAAAAAGAGAATTGGGTTTTTACTTTAATTGTATATGAAGGGGTAGTTTAAATTGATATGAAACAGCTAGATAAAAATAACAATCTTGTGGTGGAGGCTGAGGGAGGGGGATGGAGAGCCCGGAAATGGCCCCGGGCCAGCAGTTTGAGATCCCTTTTCTATATAGTCAGTTCTACAGAACTAGCCATGGCCGGTATTCAATTTAGGTACAGGGGTCCAGTCGTATGGAACAGCTTTTCTGCTCACACCTCAATTCAGAATTCTGAAACAACTTCCCTTGATTGAGTACAGTACAATGTAAATGAGGTATGATAAAGTGAAAGCAGTGTAAATATATGTTATTGTAATCTATGTTTTTGTTTATTTTTCTAGGTCTTTTTAGTCTTTCATTTATTTTATTTTTGGGGGTGTTTTTATTGTTTTATTAATTGATGGTGACAGCTGAACAGTGACAAAAAAAGGGGGGGCGGGGGCACGCAGCAAAGGTCCACTGGTTGGAGTCAAATCCAGAAGGTACACTAAGCACCAGTTTTACCAGGTGAACCACCAGGGCATTTGGAAATTGTATTCTTTCTTTTTTTTATAGACATATTCTAAAAAAATATTTGTCTGTTTGACAAATGAACAATGAATTGTTAAAACTGTTTAAATGGTTTAAACCTGTGACCATTTTCTTGTGATCTCTTTTTCTTATGGCTGCCTGTGGCTCAGGAGATCGACAGTTCGATCCCGGGCTCCTCCTGCTGCATATCTTGAGCAAGATATTGAACCCCAAATTGCCACCGATGCTGTGCCATCAGTGAGTGAGTGTGTGTGAATGCTACATGTAGCGTAAAGTGCTTTGAGTGGTCAAAAGACTCGAAAAGCGCCATATAAGTGCAGCCCATTTACCATTTACCATATTGTTGTGAATCGAATGCCAACAGCAATCTGACTTGAAGATACTATACCTCTACATCCTTCGTGTTTTTTACTTTGACCAAGTCAGCAATTTGAAGACTTAAATTTGGTCTTTTGTATGTGGTGAAAAACCCCATTACTGGGTGGAAATGAGGTGAGATGTACAAACGATAACAACCATATTGTGGTGACACCTCTCAATCCTCAACACATTCTCCAACATGCACCTCTTTTTAAGCTTCATATCCTCTCAATCTGGCAATCACCACCACTACAACACTACAAACAATACTGCAAGACTAAATCCTCGTGGAAATACAAAAAATCGATTTTTGAGCTGGATGGAGAGGTTGGGAAAGCACCTAAGTTGAGGTAGAGGTCCAGTCTTCCTTGGTGTAGCTCCAGGGTGATGTAATCTCCTCTCTGTCCCTCTCCATGCAGTAAAACACCCTCTGCCTGATGGCTCCTGAACCGGAGAGAGATCACGTCCTTTACCGTTGACATGGACTTTTGGTTGAACCGATACAGCAAGGAGCTTCTGCCGTCAAAGTCTGCCATGTATGACTCTAAAAGAAAATCAGAATAACACTTAAATCAGTATTGCCCACTGTACTTTCAGTGAATTCTAAGAAACATTTTCTAGATGCTTGCTCTTTTTTCAAAATGTTATTACTGCAGTGTAATGTTTTGGAGAATTGCTCTCACAATTTAGTCTAAAAAAACTCTAATATAATATATGTATATATACACACACACACATACACATACACACACTTACATTAGACTGCCCTGTTTGTATATTTGATAGCTGGGTACAAGATTTTTCAGCAGTTTCAGATTTGTACATTTGTATTTTCACATATTGACAAATCATTTTGGCATGTTACAGCCTCAATTTTGGACTCATTTGAAATTCAAATTAGGTGTAAAGATTGTATGATACTGCTACAACTACTAATCTAATGCTAGATGATTACTAGGAGGGCTGAGTGGTTGATTTTTGCTTATGAAAACACTCTTTACTGTCACAAAATCTAATCTCAAATCTGCGTGATAAATCAGTCAGAAAAGAAATGAAAGACAAATAAGAAGTAGTTGTGTGCAATTGTACTAATAAGAGAAACAAGGAGAAGAAAAACAACAGGGCTATACATAGAAGGATTATATGAAATGATACAGCATTTCAGGAGAACTGTAGTTTCTTGTTCATCAATACTGATACTGATACTTCTTATTATTAAAAGCAGCAAATGTACTATTATGTGGGGGGGAATGCATCATGAATCGGCATCCAAACATAGCCATTTCATCCTACAAATAAAGCAGCAGTAGGTACCTTTTATAAAAATAACTTTTTGTCATATTTGCTGCACATTTTACTATTATAAATATACTATCGTGATAGTAGTATCCCTACTGGTATTTGCAAAAATCCACTGGGCCTTAACAAAAACAACCAATCAGAACAAAGAAAGATAGTTGACTGTTGAGTCTCATTTGCAGATCGTAAATATATTGAATTTTACAATCAACTATCTTCAAGTCACCAACCCAAAATGTCCTTTTATCTCTCTCAGCTCTGATTGATTGCTTTTGTTCAAGCCCGGTGGATTGTTGCAAATACTAGTAGCGGTATTAGGAAGAGCCAGAGGAAGGTGATTTTTTCACAGATTATCTGTCTCATGTACTACTGTCAGGATATAGTGAAAGTTTCAGAAAATATGACAAAACGTTATTTTTACAAAAGTTACCAACTGATTGAACGTTTTTTTGTATTACTTTTCGTAAATAGGGTTGCCAAGAGTACATGCATGAAGAAGAGTGTTGATGTGTAATCTAACATGAGATGGATCCAGATTTTTGGCATTGATTCCATTGAGGCTAGTATCAACAAACAAAAGAAAAGCCCTAGTGACAGGCCATTTGAATATAAGGGAGAACATAGCCACTGGAATAATTACATTCAATTTAATACAACATAATAATTCATTCAGTATTGGCATTATCAAAACAATTAAGTATGTAATAAAGCTGCAGTCTTTCCACAGTGGAGTCGATACCAAGTAAGTACAGGTTAATCAGTCTTTATACAGTCCCTGCTGATGACTGTTTGAAAGTGGTCTGGCTTTGTGTTGGCACACTGCAGCAGTGCTGGGAGCCTGGCTGCTATAATATATTGAGAAAGGAAAAGAGTACTGTACTCAGTGGCTTTGCTCCACTCATGGTACCAAAACCAGCCACCTCCCCTTCAAAATGAAGAGAATCTAAATTACACTCTCTGTTTCACTCCCCTCATTCATATACAATTTGAGATCAGTTAATAGTATGTGGGCACTCTCAGAGTCAGCTACCATCCTGCTTTAGAGAGACACTCCATAGATTACAGTCTGTAATGCAGCAGAAAGCGCTGCATGGCAATGAAACCTGCCTGTGTCTCTTGGCAGATCAGCGGTTTCTGTAATATTGTGATTCATATGATATTTTCTAATAGTTCATATATGTAGGCAGACACATGAATCCAAAAATATACTGACCAATGGAGGAACAAGGAGTATATGAGGCAGCGTTTTCAGTTTTATACAAGCTTATCCAACGTTACACACTTCACTACAGTGTGGTGCTGGTTGGGCATCATAAAACTGATCACTGTGGGACACTCCGACTGTGTTTCACAGTGCATTAATTCACTGGCTCATCTAGTTAGTGCTGCTTCGCAATGCGTGGGAGAGGTGTGTCAGTGAATCCCCATTATATGTATTTTATTGAGGATTGCTCAGGATATAAACGCTTCTGTGCATCTGCAGCATTTCTTTTCATCAGGCACTGTGCAGCCGCAGCGGTCTAGTTTGTTATGGAAGTGTGGACTCCACTGTTAAGTATGGGATCATTTTAATGTCGTCTTTTGTGATTAACTGTTTTAGGGCCGTTATTAATAATAATTGGATTCCATTATTTGGAGAATGAAAGGAACAAAATGAAATACGATTTCATTATCTTAAGATAATTCATGCAGCATTAAAACACCTACAGTCATTGTTTTCTATATAAGCCCACACACTAGTGGTGTGTCACGGGATGATGCTCCAAAGAGCTAGCAATTTTCACACTTGCTCCCAGGATTGGCACATCCCAGCTACTGTATCATGACCACTTCTTCTGTCTGCAATACAGCCCGACCGACATAGTATGTTTGAGACCGATACTGATTTAAGAGGGGAAAAATTCATAATTGCTCGTATAGTGGCTGATACAGTGAATTTTTGAGCTATAATGAAAATTGGCAGATATTGCACTGAGGTTACAATGCAAAGCTACTCAACAGGCCTGCTTTCTTAAACAAATAAAGTCCCCCTCCAGTCAAAAATCCATGTTTCCTCTTGTCCCTACAGTGTGACTGAATGCTGTCTGTGCAGATTTTGACACTAGAAGGATGTTTTCACATTCATCTGCTGAAGGTGGAATGTTTCTCTGTGCTCGTTGAACATCTGATTTTAAGGGGCGGGGCCTACCTGCAGGATTTGTGACAGTGAAAACTTTAGAAATGAACAACATTTGCATATTCATAGATTCTGGAATTTCTTAATAAGGGAGAAGGAGAAGTGACTAAATCCTCTGGACCTGTAATATATGTCTGGAGGGGATCTTTAACTGTACTGTAATGTAACAGCAATCACTTTGCAGTGAAAGCAGTATATTACACATTTTCTGCATTTTGTTCTGGAAAGAAACACATCGGCTGATACCAATATGATACAGATATGTCTGCGATAGTCCAATATTGGTCAATAATATCAGCAAACCGATATATCACTCAGGCTTTAGTCTGCAAGGCACAGCTGGTGTGTGCTTCACTACTTGAAGCTAGTCGGTGCATCTTGCACTTTATGAATAGGCCCACTTACTTAGCCCTTTGTCATTTTTTACTGTGTCCATTATGTGGGACACTTTTTTCTGTCGTGGTGGAGAACAATGACTCAGTGATGAAACCCACATGGATAGACTCTCTTTTATACTACAAGTTTAAAAGCACGTCATCCTGAGATAATGAGGCATGTATCTCAGGAAGACAGCATTTCATTGAGACAACGAGATAATCAAGCAATGATGAGAAGATAAACAAGCAAACTAAATTGTGAATTTGGTTTTAATCGGGCCGCTTGTGTGTAAGCTTTAAAGGCATCAGTGTTAGTGTCAGCAATGTAGTGACCTAAGCTGCACAGGGCATGTTTTTACATTATGTGTCTCCACTCCAGGTCTTACAAATCATATACTGTAGGCTACTTTGTGGCAACATTTATTTCGAAAAATCGAAAATCAGCTCCATTCAACTCTTTGTTGTATTTGTAGCAGCTACAGTGTAAACAAAGTTCTGAAATAACACAAGTTGCCTGCTAAACTAGCACAGACCTGTCAGGAGGAAAACTAAGAAGTGTTTGACAGAGTGTAAAACTTGTTTGTTTTGGAGTATTTGTTTTTTTTTAATTTTACTAAGTCTATAAAGTTACACACAGTGTTTTCACACTGCAGAATAATATTCCCTGCTACTTTGAGAAGATGATGTTAATTGCATTTTTCTAACAACTGAAACACCAAGTGTTCCAATTTGTGGCTTAAGCCTTAGTGAATCTAATTTTCAAGTTTTATTCTGGAAGTGTTGACTATGAGGAGATCACTGCATACGTACAGCATGTTTCACACCCTGGCTGTCGTGTTTCTGATTCCCCATTGCTGTCTGGAGTATCAAACATTGTGTTAAAACCAAGCGAAGAGAAAATAGTTCTCATTACTGTCCAACGAGAGCGTAGCTGCAAAGCCCGACGTACAAATGACCAAATCCTTCTAGGCGGTGTAACTACAGAGGTTTGATGTGCAGACTGAGTGCTTTCACAGCACGGTATCAACTCTGGGGTGTGTGATACTCACTGTAGGAGCAGCCGTACACCTCCACTCTGAGGCCCATCCAGCCACTGGGGTTCCAGTCGCGAGGGACGAAACGGAGGAAACGTGTCCTCACTGGATGGGACAGCTTGTTCTGGACAACGGCCTCCGAATTCACGTTCCCGACAAATCTCTGCAGGACCACAGGGGGACAAAGACTGCGGTTATGATGGAAGCATAAAACTGATGCAAAGCAAGTGACCACTGAGAAACAACAGATGACCTCAGATTGTAAGTGAGTAGTAAGATTTTCACCAGGGAGTAGAGAAGTCTGTTTTTTTAGCTGAATACTTGAAATGTAAGTGGAATAAAAATCTAAATCCTTCAATAGCACAGTCAACAACAAAGTGCTGACAATGCAAACCCAAGGGCAACGTCTTCTTCCCATCCTTGAACATACTATTTGATGTAAAGTGATAAGAATCACTGTGCGGTGTAGAAATATGAGAATATCCGTTCAAGCAAGCCAATGTGAGGAAGAATCACCACTGAGGCAGCCAGGGGCAAAATAACGGCTCTCGTATTATGTTTTCACCCTGCAGAGCTAAAAACAATAGAGTATTGTGAGGTGTCATTCTTCTTTCTCTTTCCCACCCCTCTTCTGCTGTCAGCCTGCACTGGACAAAGCCAGGGGACATAAACAGAGAAACAGAGAGAGGGTGAGAGATGGAGACAGAAACAGAGACAAACAACCTCTTGTCTCAAATGACTGATTACCAGCCTCTTCATAACCGATTCTAGGCAGGTGACATATCAAATCAATAAGTACTCGTACTATGAAGAACCAGAAATATAGATCATTGACAGAGCTCCGGGGTTTTGTGAATAGTTCAACTCAGTCCGACAAGGCCAATACCTCAGCTTTCTGCAACAACAGAAACACAAGGACCTGCAGCACAAATGACCAGCCGATGCTCTTAGAATGGTGCAAAGCAGAGGCATCGTTAAATGCACCAGGATGCTGCCTCTTGGTAGATAATCAAGGCGACTGTGCGGCTGTTAAGGCTGTTATTGTGATTTATGCTGCTGCTTTCCCCATTTTAAGGCATTTACTGAGCAGAGCCTTGTGGCTGAATCTTAACACGCGTACAGGCCAGGCTTATTTACACATGCACAGTAATTCATGTCTGCACAGGAAGGATTAACGAATGGCACTGGGGCTTACACATTTGGTCAAAGCAAATGTATTACTCGAGCACTGCAAACAGCTTTCAGAGCAAATGAAATAAGAGAAGCATGTTGGCCTTGTGCATATTCACAACACCTGAGTTTTCTAAATGCTTCCAGCCAAAAAAAATCTAATGTCGCTATTGTTTTATTGGAAATCAGGCTGATGAAAACCTGCTGTGCTTGTCATACAGGGCTCTAGTGACCTTGTTATTTTCAGGCTTTGTGTAAGACACACTGCAGTAAAGTGTTTGATTGTTCTGCATTTAAAACCTATAATCTAAAGCCCCTGAAAATGCAACATCAAATCAGTACTACATAACATGTTCATACTTTATATAACATACATGGCTAGGGAAGCAAGAATCAAATTTCCGCCAAGGCAAATAATCCAGACTTCTATGAATCTGCACACCAGCGGCTTTAATAACACCGAGTTTACGCAGGTTTGGAAAACATGTAATTCCGGGTTAATCCATAAGAATCACATCCCTGGTTGCTTATTTCTTTCTACAATGATTGGTTTGAGGTGCCAGTTGTGCAGACGGGTGACAAATTAGAGGATAAACTTGAATGAATGAGTGGAGAAACATGACAAATGCAGATGTTTTCATACAGGACCTGAGGGGTCATTGAATGGTTGGTGAGAAATGAGGTGAATCCATTGAACGCCTATGGGAGAATGGGGTTCTTCCTTGGCCCATGCAACACCCTTCCTTTCATGAAAATTGGGCCGGTATTTTTTCCGTAATCCTGCTGACAGAAAAACAAATAGCACCAGAAACAGACCTCCTTGGCAGAGGTACTTATTTATTGGTCAAGAACTTGGCTGATGTTCTTCATTAGGACTGTGTGGGTGTGGCTTGATCACATTTACAATGTTGCCAAAGGGACTGCATTAGCTAATAGCAAATGTGACATAAATAATCTTTTATTTTGAGATTATGTTATTTGTGTATCTTTGACCTAAAAAAAAACAGAAAAGAAAAAAAAACAAAGAACAGGACATCAAATTTTTCCAACAGTGCCCCACCCACTTTAAACCAGTGCGAAAAGCAACGAGAAGTAATAAGTAGTAAGCAAGTAAGAACAGAAATACAAACATTTCTCAGGTGAAATGTGTGTTCATGCAGGAGCATCTTGCTCATAGTAAGAAACTATGTTGATAGAGCTTTTCTTTTGTTTGAATAGGATCAGGATCAGGGTATTATGTTCAGTGTATGGTACACTGTATTTTTGTTATACAGCCTGTGAAACTCTGCTTCTTATTTCTGTTGTAATTATTGACTGTCTTTCCACTCGATTCCCAGCTGAACGTCTGGAAAATCTAATGAACCAAATGAACTCTGACTGAGGCTGCGGTGCAATCATTCTAACTATCCATTAGCTAACAAAACTCAGACACGTCAGCAGGCGTCATTAGTATTCAAGAGCAATACCACTACAAGAACACCACTGAGGCTTTTCTCAGCAATGACGTTTGTTTTTGTTTCCTCTTTGGAAAATCTTGCGACAGAACGTCCTGTGTGTTCCAGCTGGGAGATGAGGTAAAGTCTCTGAATAGAGGCCTGAGGGTATGGAAGATGTTTCCGGAGGTCCAGAAGACCAAGCTTGGTCCTTATCCACATAAACAGCCCTAACCCCACAGTGACTTCGTTATTTCTATTTATGTTTCTGTCACTGTGTAAGAGTCTCCCTCCTCATTCATTAAGACTCTTTACTCTTCCTCTCCAGTGATGAGCTCCCCTGAGTCAGTTTTCCTTTCTGCTGCCTACAGCACAGGCACATACGTTTATTTTAATCAGTTCACTGGGGGATAAATCCTGCTGCTGGCGATGGAGTATGAAGTACGATACAGTATGTCCAAAAAGGTCATTGGCCAGTTAAACAGCCTAAGGGAACATACAGCAAAGAGAAAGTTACAAGTACATGACCTTGCCATGAGTGAAAATACTATAGCAATCCCCGATTGCCAGTCAATCTTGCAGGAATCCCCTGACCATGATCAACAAGGCCTTAACAGTTTCTCCAATGCCTTATCTAGCAGAGGGCCTTAGATATTTATGTCTACTACACATATTGAGCTCAATTTTGGGTTAAATGAAGGTATTTTGGATATAGTTATATATAGTTGTTGTTTTTGTTGAGTGTAAAACAAGAGTGTACAGCAGCGCTAACAGCCCTGGGAGGCTGTACTTAGGCACAGTGATGCTTTGAGCTAAATGTTAACATCAGCATGGCAACTGTCACAAGCGCTGTCCAGGGTGCTGATTCTGGAGCTGTCCTGGGTATTGCACTAGTGAGCTCAATCCTGCTAGCAGAGAGTAATAGCTAACAGTCTGCCTGATCAGCCTCATCATCTGCCTATTAATCTCAAAACGTGTAGTAATTATGTAGTTATGTTCAGCGGCAGGTTAAGAGGGATGGCCAGGCGGCTGCCACCCCAGTTTGGTGTCAAATTAGACTCATTCATTTAGATTAATGTCAGTAGATTTGTTTTGTTTTTGTGTTGACTTCAGCAAAAAAATATAGAAATGCAGAAATTACATTTGTTTTGTGTTTTCTGCACTTGGGTCCTGTTAAGCATCGTTACAGGCAACATGTTCACAGTGGCAAGATTCAAATTTGTTGATGTATACGCGAACAAGTCGCCATTACTGGTGGCGTCTCCCTACAGTATGCACCAGTTTGAATGAAAGATATGCTAAGAAGTGTACAATTTTCTACTTTTCTCTTTACTTTCTGTGTAACGTTACTTTTACAACGATGTCTTGTAAATGGGGAAGAAGCTGTGCAGTTATCAGATGCTGCAACAGTAGTGGCAAACTTCAACTTTGGAAAAGAAACTGAACGTGAAACACACAAGCCTTTACCTCACGAAGAGTACCTTTTACATAGATTGCTTTCGCGTGCAGAGGACCAAGATGTTCGCATGCCAGGACATTAATTAATCTAATCTTGATGTGCTAGATGACGGACCACACAAACCGATTGCTGGATTTGAGTATAGCAGGTAACATTTGCAGGTTAGCACTAAGCACAAAGTACAGCTGACAGGCCACCACACCAAAGTTATTAGAATTAATTTCTGAGGATCTTGATTATCTCTACATGTCAACCACCCTAGATATTTCACCCAAAACCACAAATGTGAACCTAATGGGGGTGCTAAATGAAACCAACTGACCAACAGACAGAGAGACGGCTGTAGAAGAAATAAAACTAGGAGCAGTAAAATAACACATCAGCACTCAAGCAAACACATTTAATCCTTGTTAGATTCCCATCTACCTGAACACCTAACAAGCATAAAAATCAGTGTTTCAATCTCCCCCTTAAGGAGTAGTTTCATTCACAGCTGAAGTAAAACAGGGATTTTCAAATAAGGCTTCTCGAGGATAATGAAGGTAATCGGGACCAGAGCTAGAATTTATTCCTTCCACAGACATAAGTCATTTTCATTCTAATTAGATTCTAATTATCAGCTTGTAGAGGAGTGTCTTCCTGTTGTTTCACATGTTCCTCTTACCAAACAACAAGCTTTGCAGAGAATCAGTACAGCTTTTAGAGACAAAATCAAACCAAAGGTGAAACTATGTAAACCTTCTGTTGTTTGCACAGGAAGAATAGGTAATATGTATTTATGTTTCACTATATGTCAAGGCGTAGTTGCTGATTTAAACACCATTGCCTCACCCTCCCACTCCAAGCATGTAGGAAAAACTACGGTAGGGTTGGGTGATGTGTTAACATTTTCCAACTGTCCAACAACCAGCAATAGCCAATATATTCACACATGCATGGGCCTGCCCAAGCCGCAACAAAACAAAATTACAACTAATCACTTTATTAGTCTTTCCACTGTTCCCACAATCACCGACTCTGGTGTCTAAATGTCTAACTCGTCTAAGCTCGATGTGAATATATTCTGGCTCTGCACACTGTCGCTGTCCCTCTGACCTCCCTCCCCTGGCCTGTCCCAGCCTGTCCCTGCCATGTCCTCATTTTCCCTGGAGTAACAGTCCAGCAGCTCTAATTCTTCGGAGGCAGACCATTAAATTAAGAAAATAGAATAACAAAATTGCACCGTAAAATCGTCCAAAGAAAAAAACAACCTGTGATGGACACAAACAGATAGCAGATAGCCAATACATTCCTCCAATCACCTAACCCTAAAGTATGATGGTTACAAAACACTGAAGGCCAGTGTTTGATTTGTACATTCTGGGCGGTTCAACATGGCAAACTCAACACAGCACATTCTAAGGTGATAAAAACACAACAATTCTTATTTTGAGGTAATAATACACTCATGAAATATACCTATGAATATTAATTTCCATTTCTGCCAATAGATCTTCCAAAATATTACACACTGGACATTTAATACCCAGTGGTGGAGCTTAAGGATGAAGATGCCAACAGTATGATCTAGAGCAAGATATGTCCACAGATACTGTCCAGGTTGCCATACAATTTGGTATGGCCCTCAGAGGATGTCTGCAATTGATTTTGGTGACTCCTTGACTTTTTCTCTAGTCATCATCAGGGAGAAATCCCCTCTAACAGTATTTGTTTGTTCCATACCATTTAGTCTTGCCAGAATTGCAGAAGGATTATCGATCTTTAGCCCAGTTTCTTATAGAGCTAATTTTTCCATGGAGCTAATTTGGCTCGGCATTAGCTCAGAGCGGCTGAGAGCTAGCAGCCATATCAGCAGCTGCTGCTCTCTCATTAGTCCCTCTGAGTTCAGTGCCTGGCAGTGAGCCGTTACCTTTGAGCTTCACTTGTTAAAATGCCAGACGGATGTGAGTTACTATCAGCAAGGTCTTGGTGAAAGCGTTAGTCAGTCAGCTTGGGTGTGAGTTTCATTAGAGATTTCAGACTAATTGGCTGCCACTCATCCTGCAATATCTGTAATATCACAAGAACACCAAAGAAAAGTGTGGAGATGTGGGGCTAAAATTGTCTGTGTGAGTGTTTATTTGAAACACAAATATAAAGCTTGCCAGGTTTCAGAGGATGATGCCTGTTTTGCCTGGTATGACACGGCCCTGTATGCCGTAGCAGAGTGCTATATGAGTTTTAATATTTGAAATATAATAACTTACTCTTTTCTCTCTCTTGTGAGTCACTTACAAAGGGTGATAGCTGCAGGTCATTTTGGTAATATCTATACATAATGTCTCATCTTCCCACTGCGCAGCAGCTTTATTTCCCTTTCCAGACATAATGATATGAGGACTGACAGTGTGTGGAAGAGGCTGTGAGCTGTTTATCATGATATTTCAACAAGTCAGTCACTGGATACATCAGCTGCCTGCCCTGTACTCCGGTTAGAAAGCTGTTTTATTTATAAAGACTTTGTGCCTCAAGGATGTTGCCGAGAGCTCTTATTTAAGGTCTGAGGGCATAATTTTTAATGAACATCTTTTGAATGAAGGCATGTTTACTACAAATGTGTTTTTTGTGTACTAAAGGTCCCGTGTGGACTATTTAGGAGTAAAAGAATATAAGAATTGTTGTGTTTTCATTACCTCAGAATGAGCTGTTTTCATCTACAGAGGGAGTGGGTCCTCTTCTACAGAGTACACAATGTTGAACCGGTTTCTAGCCGAGAACGGACAAACCAAACAGTGGTTCTAGATAGGGCCTTTTGTAGTTTCTCCTACACGCTTGCAACAGTGGGGTGAGGTGAGGGTGTTGCAATCAGCAACTACACTGCTAGATGCCAATAAAACCTACACACTGGACCTTTAATGTCATGCAAGGTTGGAGCACCTTGGTAGCCGAGTAGTTACAGCACATGCCACATGGCAAATGTCCTTTGTTATGTCACACCCCTCTCTCTCCCCGTGTCCTTTCTGCCTCTTCATCTGTCACTATCAAATATACCTAAAAATATGCAAAAATACCTCAAAAATAACCTTGCCTTGACATGCAAGGATTATACCCAGTTTTATAGACATGCAGGAATGTTATTCTTAATCTAACATTATGGTAGTACAATACTGAATGGCTATCATGTTGTCCTAAAACAAATGATAGATTAATAGTATTATATTATTGTATATATAGTATATGTACAGTTAAACTACTGTATATATACATACATACATACATACATACATACAAACATACATACATACATACATATACATATATACATACATACATATATTTTGTGGTTCAATTGTATAGTTCTCAGCTAGTAAGGAGGGCCCCCAAAGAATATCTTGCCTAAGGCCTCATGCTGTTTAGAGCCGGGTCTGAACAGATAACACATAAAGGAAATGTCTTAGTTGACTTATATATAAATATACTATAAATACTTCATAGACTTTGTGGAGAACTGTACACTTTAAACATTGATTTTCTGCAACTAATTAAAAATGTATTTATGTTACTTATTACACAAACAAATTAATCTCTGGTTAGATATCTGAAACAACAACAAATTATGCATTTTTCCAGATGATACATGAAATCTTCAACGTTCAGAGGTAGCAGCAGACTCAGCTGCTGCGCAAGGCCCCCACACCCATCAGGGCCCCGAAATTGACAATTTACACATAAAGCCTGTGCTCATAATGCTCATAAATATTCAACTTATTGTTATATTTCAACCCTGTATTATGAATAAGGAAATATTGCTTGAATTATTCATAGCAATGCATTTCTTTAAGCGATTCCTGTTGAAGCTGATTGTTGTTCTTCACATTTGCACATTCTAAAGTTAACTAATTGTTTTTGGGAGTAAAGACATCAAATCTACCCAGGGCATGGTACTTTTCCACAGAAAAAAGCCAGCACTGTAGTTTTTAGTAAAGATTACTTAAACACAGAAGTAAATTGTGTATTTGTTGGGGACTCGTCATTGGATTAATACCACAGACTGTATAAATAAAAATGGTAATAGTCTCTACGACATCACCCATAGGTTTCTGAGGTACTGTCATGTAGCTCGCCATCTTGCCAGTCTTGACTTCACCAGCTCCAATAATGGGCAAATCGTGGAGCATAGATGGAGCTAAAGCAGGCTGAATGAAGCCTGTTTACTGAAACTAACCACCTGTGATGGCACCCACCTTTCCCTCAAAGCGGCCATGCCCTTAATTATGCTTAACTTAAAGCTGTTATATAATTTAAACATGTAAACATGTTTATTTCTGCTGTAAAGTTGGGCATTTTAATATGGGGCCTTATGAAAATTGACTCACTTCTGTAGCCAGCCTCAAGTGACTACAGTTTTTGTTCAATCAGTGTTGGCTTCATTTGCCCGCCACTGAGGCTGCCGCTTGTTTAATACACATTTAGTCTTAGTGACAGTGGTATTATTGTATGAAATATTTACATTCAGTCTTGGCTTCGAAAGAGTTAGACCGTCTCCTTGAACATCATGATCTTTTATGTAATCTTTAATTACATTTCAGTATATAATGCCTTTTTAAAAAGATGGAGGAGGGGGTAAGGTAAATAATTAAACATACGACACTAGACATAATGTTCACCCACGTTTCTCTGCTATTCTAATTTCAACACTAGGAAAAAAAAGTCCACTTTGCAGCAGTGGGAAACTACACACTCTGCTAATTGGACTGCCAAGCAGAAAAAGTCCCAGAAAAACAAATTAACATCTCAGAGCAGCCCCGTGACAGAACTGGGGCAAACACAATAAAGAATTAATGGCATGTGCCAACATAAGGCTATTTTCTTAGACCCTGAGTCCTTGTAAAGGCCAACATAACAAGTTGTGACAATACATGGAGGACAAAAAAAGTCTAATGATTGCGTTGACACCTTGAAACGTGTCAGAAAAAGTGAGAGGATGTTATCACACCCTGACCTGTAACGTCATCGAGAGGCTGATCCACAGAAAACATCATTAAACAGAGGTATCTCATGTGACAGTGAGGCTAAATGTGAATGTTAATGATCTGTCCGACCAAAACAATCCTGCTAAAAAGTTGCATGTACTGAATATGAATACAATAGTGTCACATATGTGCCACTTTATTGAATCAAGAAATCAAATCAATGAATCCAAAGTTGCACAGAAAGCTGATTAAATGCTACTCACCCCTACACCGTCCTCATGCCTATACTGTTTCCAGGCCCGCCCTGTGTCACTGTAGAGAAGCAAGTAACTGCTGACCCAGTCCCAGCTGTCATACCGACCCTGCGTGGCCACGGCCGTCACCTCCATCTGCTCCCTGAGGTCCACCTGGAGCCAGGGCTCTTGGTCGGTCACCATGGGAGACCAGCCTCCCGCCCCTGAAGGAGGGCAGAGAGATACAGGCAGAAGGGATCCATTAAACATCGATATTGTCGATTAACAGTGGATTGTTGTGGTTGGCGCTCAGTCGCCACTGGGCACAGTGAGTACACAGGGAGTGTTTGTATATAAAAGGCTTCAAGGTGAAGTTACACTCCAGCTGCCACAGGGAAGGTCCTTAGTTTTATGGAAAATAGCTGATTAATTTTGAAATGTGTACAGCCTGCCTTTTAAACTTATACTGCCACTGTAGGGCAACAAGCTAGCCTCTGATCCACAATGCATGCCACAGTGTGTCTGTCATTCTGGAAAACTGAAACATTAAACTGTTTCTGTTCTGTTCATATATAAGCTACCTACTAATGCACCTGCTAGTTCTGTTTCTACTGCCTAAAAATAATTATGTCATTAGCATTGACCAACTGTAGCTCTAATTAGGTTCCGATGGCATATATGACGTATGTCCAAAGCTCATGGGGGCTGTAGTTGTTGAATGCTATTTACTCAACAGCAGCTCCCTTATACCCGAGAGGCTCTAAGTTGTGGAGAGACTGAGACTAAGGATAATGACAAGACTGTGTCACAGTACATTCAGAATCAAATCACAGTAATCAGACTGTCTATTTCAAAGTGTAACTATTTAAATTGGCTTCCGTAACCACTCCATTTGCTTATGGCCAGATGACTCTTGTTCTGGGATGGGTTCAAGAGGGGCCAGTGCACTTGTGACAACAACCCTGGACCTCCTTATGGCCCTGCTACAAGCAATTCATTTTCTCTCTTGATTCTGTGGAAGCCAGGACTTCCTTATTAGCCAGGACTCATTTTAATAAAAATATTAACGATCCCCTCCAGACATGTATTGAGAAATATATACAAATAGTCAACTTGGAACAATAATGTGTGTCTGATATATTTTTTCCACAAAAAAGAATAATTTCCACAAAATTCCAGAATTTAGTTAATTTCTAAATTGTCTGAAGCATGTAGAAATATTAAATCCATGCAAGAACATGCTCTCTCGTACTCACCATCTCTTCTGTTGAGCTTGGCGTTGTAAGCAGCATAACTGACCGAGGATTGAGAGGAGCTCTGAAAGGATGAATGGGGCAACGTGGCTACCAGAGGACCATTGCAATTATCTGTAAAAGAAGACAAAAACAACTGACAATTAAAAACACATTGACATTATTACTTTTAGTTCATATAATGTATTTCACATAAAAATCTGACTGTTTGAAGAATGGTTCTGAATGAATTTCACTGCTTGCCACACTGGGATTTATTCAGCTGACAGAAATAATAGAAAATGAATCCTTGAGCAGTTGAACATGTTGGTTCAAAGAGCATCTTCACCTGTCAGTGGTAGAGTTTTAAAGCAAGCAACTGGGAAAAATAACAAGGCTGCCTCACTTATCCAGTTCTCAGATACCTCAAACAGTCTATTAACCCATGCGGTGACCCCTGAAAATAGCACAGAAAAACGCCAGGGCTCCTTTTGTGTGCATGTGTGTGTTTTTTTTAATCCCACTGTGTGAGATTACATCACGTCCAACAGGCAGGAACAGATTAAGAGTCCAGTGATCTAAACCTGTCAGTCTCATCTTCCTCTGATCCGCCCGGCCCGTCCGCCACAATAAGAGCAGTGAGTCGCACAACAACAGCCTCTCTGCTGTCTCACTTGAGTGCAGAGCTGCATTAAGGCCTGTATCTGGGAACGTAATGAAAACTGGCACCGGCCTGATTACAATTATCCCTGCACTCTCTCCATCAGTGTGCAGTTCACTCCTCTGAGTGCAAGAGGCTTTTTGTTTTTGGATGCCATTCTCTACCTCGAGTTGCGATGGATTCTGAGCACATCTGGAGTGGCCATCTGGTGCACAAGAGCACAGCAGAACTGACAGCATGATCTCGTTCTCCTTTTGAGCGTCCCACCGAATTTTCAACTGACCTGATTTGACTGCTCTCAGATCGCTTGCCAAGAGATTTCTCTAATCCTGATTTCAAGTGTGACTAAAGTGGATCAAGCTGTTTTGTCCAAGACTCAAATTATGGCTGAGCTGCAATGCAGTTGCAGATGTTCATTGGGGAAATGAGAACAGTGGCGTGCCATCTCTACACACCACTACTGGAACTGGGGTTATTATGCAAGCACAGCACTCTTAATCTGTTAAAAGTCTTCCAGATCCAACTTTTGATTCCTGAAGGATAACTCTCACTGTTCCTATCCCCTCTTCCATCTGCATCCATCCATCCTTTCTTGCTAGATACATCCCTGGTTGAAGAGCTGACAAAACCTCACTGATGTGAGGTTACACCTCAAAAAACACTTTGCTCCTTCATTCAATCCAACCTTTGCATGACCATATACTTGACAGCTTAGAAAAGATTAAACAAACCAACCACATGTTCTCAGATTGACTCACGATGTGAGTGCAGAGAAGGTTTCTTCATGTAAAAAAAGGTAAGTCTTATACCCCCAGTTGTTTACAGATTTGGTCTTGAGCCAAATGCCTGGCTGTCAGTCACAAGGACTTATGGATGTAGGAAGATTTGTCTGCGGAGCTGCTCTGCGGCCTGTGGGATAACTGAAAATCCTCAGAAGCTGACTCACGATCTCCATGCGAGGCTCATGGGCTTGGATCTTATAGCCAAATGAACCCAGACGTGCAAACACGTGGACATAAACACATGCACATAAACACATGCACATAACTGCTAGCTGAGAAGGAATTTAATCACTCTTGAAATCATAAGTACATCAACAGCTATACAGCAAGAGCTTTCGGCTTCGGTCACGGAAGTGCTAGGATAACAAACAGAGGCTGCCACAGAAGTGTTCCTGTTGACACTGAGTGTCTTTAAATTCACTCTAGTATTCTGGATATGATTGGGTTTTTGGAGTATGCTGGTTACGTTTTGGTTTTGAGAAACCTGTATATGCTACAATATGAGCACTCCGATAGAAACAAGCATACTGTGGCATGTAAACAACTAATCCTGGTTATCTTAACATTCTCTGTTGCTATAGAACAAGGCAGAGGTGAAAGAAGAAAAGACCTACCACCAAGGAGAGGAAACTTGGAGGTGTTACTTCTTTAAAAGGTAGGCTATGTATTTTTATTTATTTTTTATAAATTTAACCAGAAACTTTTATGTATAATTTAAATCTCTATATGTGATATGAGACATGGTTCCTGGCATTTTGTTAGAATCAATTTAATTGGCTTTAGCTCCTGTCACTGCTAAAGGCTTCTTGGTTGTTTTTCACTCACCCTACTGGTGGACCATGATTATCTAATCCCCATAATTTGTGAAACTAAGGTGTGGCCTATCACACCGTTGAATTTGAAGAAGGCCAGAGGGCTGAAACGTCTTCATCTGAATAAAAAATAAATGGTTGTGGAGTGTGCGTCACTCTTGGGAAACCAAGACCCACCTGCAATAGACGATCAGAAACCTGGAGACTGTTGTTATCATGCATACAGGGATATAAATAACCAGGTTTTTCATGGTCCATGTAATGCCTTATCTTGAATAACAAGAACAAAAACAGGATAAGACTAAAACCAGGTTACTGATGTGCATGTAAATGCATCCACCGCAGCACACCAGAGGTTATCACTGATTGTGTTTGCGATAAAAATAATAGATGAAAAAGAGTAGTGCCTGCACATTCACTCTAAACTGTAGTTCTGACTGAAATCAAAAGTTGTCCTTTCAAATACATTTGTGGTTTGGAGTGTGTAGGTTCATTTAAGTATGAGGCAGGTATGAGGTGAGACAGGAGTCTATGGTTTTCCTACCAAAATCAACAATGCTGAGGCTGATTGGTTCCTACTAATGATATAAATCTTCAATAAAAGGCTCACATACAGGTCCAGTGTGTAACATTCAGGAAGATCCATTGGCAGAAATGGAATATAATATTCATGGGTATGTTTTCATTCATGTATAATCACGTGAAAGTGTGTTTTTGTTAGAATGGCCAGTTTTTATCCACAGAGGGAGCGAGTCCTCTTCTACAGAGTTTGCCATGTTTCTAGTTGCCCAGAAAGAACAAACCAAACACTGGCTCTAGATTGGGCCTTTGTGTTTTTCGTTTCACAGCCAGTTTCTCCCACACGTTTGGTTGAAAAGAGGTTTCACTTCAGGACAACAATTATTAGTAGGATCAATTGTTTGTTGGATTTAGTCATTGTATGAGATTTCTTGACAATATGAGAAATATAGAATTTTGCCAGCATTATCCTTTGATGCTCTTTTTCAATATCCTGGCAGCATTCACTATCCTTTCATTTGAAAAATAAAAGATTTCCTCTTCTAAACCGTACAGACACGTTTAGATTCAGAGTGTGCTCTCACTCTGCTCTTTGGCCTGCTAGATGTTCATCACTTATCAAAATCAAAATCTGCGTCACATGGAATCAAAATATCTAATTAACTTTCATAGAAATGATCTTTTGAATTAAAGGAAGGACATCAGGCGCCTGAGCAGTGAAAGAGAAATACTGTCTGGCTGCAGGTTTCACTTTCAGTCGGGATAATAACGTGAGATCTTTGAAGCTACCCACGCACCCTCTTCATTGTCAGCAATACATTAGAATCAGTGTTTGCCTGTGGCATTGCCTCAGCCATACTGTACAGATAAGCCTTTCTCCACTGCTCCCCTCTGCTCATCAGCAAGCCTGTCTTAATATGAGAGCACAACAGATGCTGCTCCACAAAGAAATCAAACTCAATTATCACAACAAAGTGCCATTTGTAGCACGCATGGGATGGATATTTTAAGCTCCAGTTGCAGATGCATAATCGCACCTGAAGACGACCGCACGCCCCAAATCAAATAAACATGGCTCACCAGATATGAGGAAGCCTAAGTTTCCTCTTGGATATCAAGTCTCAGGAAATGTACAAACAGTTGGATATGAAAAAATGCCAAGGGGATTTCCTAAAAATAGAACATGGAACAGAGATAGGGTATAGAGCAGAGCAGGCTTCTCAATCTGACCTGATCCTCCTGTCTGGATGGATCAAACCCATGTGATTAAAGTTACAGCTGCAAGGTGCAAAGACACCAGTTCCACTTTTTACAAAGACAAGGAAATATGCATAGTTATGCACAGTTAATACCATACCTGAGAAACGTAAAAGGATTCTAAAATTGGTTTAAGAAAATATAAGAGAAGTTATATATGTTTTAAGTTATATATGAAGTTATATATATCTTCAACCTCATTTTGCGAAATAAACTATGAGAAAATCGTATTGTGAACCCAGTATTGGGAATCATATCAAATCATTACACAGTTGGTGCAGTTTGCGTTCCACAATTTTTCTTGAACAAATCATCTTTTTTTATTTCAATTGACAGATGAATCATTCATTCATTCAATCATTAATACATGGAGGTTCAACGAGAGCAATTCAGCTTGTTCTTCATGGTCATGGATGATAAAAGAAGAAATAAAGGAAAGGATAAACTTGCGAAAAAGGTTGAAAAACTAAAACTACAGCAAACCAGCTTTAAACAAAATCTGAAACACAGCAATATGTGATAAATCATTAGTCTACAAAATGTCAAATCCTATTACAAAGCCCCACAGCCTATGTTTTCAAATAGCTCAATTTACCTGACATACGGTCGAAAACAATCTTAATTTACAAAGAAATGAAAGAGTGTTTGTATATTTGCTGGATAAATGAGTTAAGCGTTGTCATTTATAAATGTTCTGTGAGTGATTATTGTGACCAGTGTGTCAGCAACACACAGCAAAGTCTACAGGCTAGAAAGAGATTACTAAAAGCATGAAATGTGTTACTTGGCTATTGGTTTCAACCATTACTTCACTGGTATTGATCAACACTGATAATTTTCCGCTATTGGGCAATAAAACACTTAAAACCACATGCATAGCACCTTCGTATAGCAGTGATAAACCCCACACCAGCAAAGACAGCCTGTTGGAGGGTGCGTAAGTTCAGTCAACACAGACCACAGAGTCAATAATATCAAAGGGTACAGCGATAGTATCTGGTATCAGAGCGGCCTCAGACCTCTGTGTGGTATTGATAAAGCTTCATATGATACCTTGCATGGACTAACAGGCTTTGGGGCTCAGTGACCTCTGCTCAGTGATAG